CTACCTCTCCGATATAGCAGGTTAACATCATACACCAACAATCTCAATAGTAGGCGTTGGAGACGCTTAGGGGCCTTGTACACTGGCTTCTTTACAATAACCTCTAGGGGCTTGTGATCTGATTGGACAGTGCCTGGGCGGCCATATGTGTACTGGTGAAACTTCTCGAGCCCGAAAACCACTGCCAATAACTCCTCAATTTGCGCATACCTTGTCTCGGCATCAGACAAGGCTCTGCTGGCAAATGCTATGGGCTGTCCATTCTGAGTTAGGACTGCTCCTAAACCTGTATCGGACGCATCACTCTGAAGTGTAAGCTCTTCCTTAGGCTCAAAGTACTTAAGGACTGGTGCTTCTGTTACAAGCTGTTTCAGTTTGTTGAAAGCTTGTTCTTGATGTTCTGTCCAGTGCCACTCAACATCTTTCATAGTGAGGCGTCGAAGAGGTTCACAGACTTCACTCAGTCTTGGCATGAATTTACTCAGGTAATTCACGAAGCCAATGAATCTCCTCACCCCGGCTACGTCTTTGGGCTTGGGCATTTCAATAATAGCGTTCACTTTTTCAGGGTCTGGCTTCAGTCCTTGGCTTGTCAGCAGGTGTCCAATGTCGGGGACCTGATCCAGGCGGAGCTTCATCTTGTCTTTGTTGAGCTTTACGTTTTGCTCTATACAACGCATCATTAGCTTGTGGAGTTTTGCATCATGATCTCTGCTTGCTTTTTCATAGGTATCACCTTCTCCATACAATAGGATGTCATCGTGTATAGTCAAGACACCTGGGAGTCCTTCTAGCACTTGATGCTGTCTCGTTTGAAATTCTTCAGGTGCTGGAGCAAGACCAAAGGGCATTCTCAACCACCGATCGCGTCCAAAGGGGTTGTTGAAGCATGTGAGCTTTGAACTTTCCTCATCTAACTCAACGTGCCAGAACCCATTTTTTACATCAAACACACTGAACACTTTGGCTCGGCTAAGTTCTGGTAAGATGTCATCGATTGTAGGCATGGGGTAATGACTGCGCTTCAAGACTTTGTTTAGATCTTTTGGATCCAGGCAGACTCTAATGTTACCATTTGGCTTCTTAACGATGACCATACTTGACACCCAGGGCGTTGGTTCTGATACAGGGGTTAGAATTTGAAGAGACTCCAGTCGGTCTAGTTCTTCCTTGAGTGCTGTTTTAAGAGCTAGTGGCACTTTTCTTGGTGGGTGGACCACTGGTTTAGCACTAGGATCTATTTGGAGGTGATATGGCTCGCTTAGCTTTCCAGTGCCTTGAAATACATCTGGAAACTGATCTGCAAGCTTCTCTTTTGTCAAAGGCTCTTTGTGGGGACTAGCCACTAGTGAAAGAATATTTTCAAACCGCACTTGTATCAGATCCATTTGCTGGATTGTTTCACTTCCAAGCAGGGGTGTGCTTTGCTCTTTAAGAACCACAAATTCTGTGCAATATGACTTGTCAGTCTTGCGGTTATGCAGCTCCAACGTACATCGACCTAATGGTTTTAGCGTTGTCTGATTATACATTGATAGCACTCGTTTCGTTTGCTCAAGTTTCACCGAACCCAAACAGTTCTTGAGTGTTTCTTCTGAGATTACATTGCATGATGCACCACTATCAAGTTGAAAACGAACTGGTTTCTTTCCGGCATCACTTGTTGCATACAGGCGTTTCGGAAATTTATTTGCCACAATTGAGTTTACTTCCAAAGCGGGCTCCAAATCAACTGTTAAAATGTCATCATAGTCTGAAAGATCTTCATCATTGTCATCAACATACTTAAGGTGCGAAGTTGAACCCTTTTGTTTGGTTTGGCAAACAGAGGGGTAATGATGGAGCTTGTGACAGATGGTGCATTCTTTGCCATATGCCGGACATTTTCTCCTTTCGTGTTTTGTTCCACAATAAGTGCATTTCATCTTGCGCTTTTTCTTTGGCTTACTTTCATGCTTCGGCTTTTGAACGGCATTTATCGATTCAGTAGCTTCAATGGCTTTATTTCGCTCTTTTGAGAGTTCGCTCACGCGACACGCACGTAAACATTTGTCAAGATCAAGATCAACCACTTTTAGCAGCTCTTCGCGTAGCGTCGAATTACGAATTCCACAAATAATTCGGTCGCGAATTAGTGAATCGTGAAGCGTTCCAAAATTGCATGTTGCAGCCAATAACTTTAAATTCCGTCACAAATTTCTCTATCGATTCGCCTTCTTCCTGAATTCTCGTAAAGAATTTATATCTCTCTACGGTTTCATTCTTTTTAGGATTGCAATGTTCCTCAAAAGCATTCATAACATCTTGCAATGTTCGTTCATCTCTGGCCTTCTCAAAGTGCAGAGTTTCGTATATTTCGCGACCCTTGCTCCTAATAATGTAAAGGAACATCTTTACCTTTACTTTCTCGTCCCGTCCTTCCATCGCGAGGTCCATGAAAAGTTGGATTTCTTCGTGTGCGAACTCCAAACCTCCAGGGGGCTTTAACTGTGTTATTCGTTCAGCTCGTTGGCCTCCAGACGTTTCTGTGGGCGGATCGGGCATTCTGACACCATGTAACAAGTAAAAGCACGACTTTGTAGCGATGTAAATAGACTAGTTTAATCGGGAGTTCTCTTAGACTAAGGTCACATTGATCTGGCTGTTGATCTGGCTGAGTTGCGCACGCAAAGCGATCACATCATGAGATTGGGTTTCAACGAACCTATTGTCTGTTGTTACAGTAAAGAGGTCTTCATACGTTCACGTTACTATTATTACTGTGAAAAGTCAGGCTATATGAGATGTACAGTCACAGTTTACACGTGAAAGTGTTAAAATTTGGCCCTTTGGTGGTTTGTACGTGAGGGAATTCGAGTTATCACACAGTAATCTAGTAAGCAGGATTATAAAAAATAACTCATGCACACAATGTGCACGTCAAGGTGTTGGACTTCATGCATTTTACGATTCGTACGTAAAAGAACGCAAATTGTTAACCAGAAAATTTGCTCAAACGATTTTAAGAAATCATCTCGGCTTTACAACATTTGCATTTAAATTGTGCTTCATGCAACGTTAAGGTTGATAGCCTAATATTATCAAACAAAATTATCAAACTGCCGAAATGTATTTCTACTCGTCTCATGTTATTCCACTCAATAAAACAATTTCTCAATATTTTGTCAACCAGCTTCTTCCAATTTTATTCCCTAACGCTATTGTTTCTACGTAAGTTACATATCTTTACTAAAGCCCCTGGGTAAATATAAATACGTTTCAGTACTAAATAAAATATTAAAAAAATAATTACTATTAAGCGGCAAGCATGTATCATGTTGTTCACTCAATTCATGTTTGCCGGAACGAAAAAGGTCTGTTGAACTTTGCAAGCGTTGCGACAGTTCGCGATAGCCTAATTAGGTCAGAAATGTCTTGAAGCAGCACCCGCACTAAAATATGAACCCTTAAAAAGCTACATCACTGTACTCAGCGTTTGAATCATGCATGAAGATAATTAAATGTTATGCTTCTAAACACCTGCAGCCATAATAAAAGACGAAAAAATTGTGAAGAACCAAGATGGCGGTCCAAGTGCCCTTGTTTGACCTTTAGCAATGTCATGTTTAGATGCCAAAATCTCATTCGTCCTTAGCATCACCTCATAGTACCTTCAACCTTATTGGCCCCTGCAACACACATCCGAACACACAAAGCCACAAATCCACAAAGATACATACGCTCAGACCATTGCCATATGAGCTATTCTAACGAACCTTGTGCACCTGCAAGTTCGCAAGAACAAAATAAAGATATAGCCAAGGCGAAGGGCGAAGCTCCCAATAGTTGAGCCTGCGATCAGTTGAAAACTAGAAACCTGTCAGCGGTGAACTTAAAAAAAATGCCACATCGATGGGTTGACCCCTGAGCCCGCGATACGGTCATGTGGTACTGGTCAGCGGATACCCGTTTGGACAGCTGTCAATCAACATAAATGTGCAATATCAGGTTGCAGGCTCCCACACTATCTAGAAAGTGTAACATTTCACATCGTTGCCCCTGTGGTGCGGACGGGCGGGCGGACGTACGGTCACGTGACTACCAAAATTCCTTCCAGGGATAGGTAACGAAACTTTCTTAGCTATCGGGCTCCTCTCCTATAACAAAGTATTCTGATGGGCTTCATAACCAATCCACTTTAAGTTACATGTAATGGTAACAGGACTGAGTAGAGTCCAATTCGATCTGTAATCATACGATTTGTTTAATCACGAGTATGATTACAGAACGAATTGGACGACACGAAGTTCTGTTAGCAATCAATCATAACTTTAACAAAATTTGTAAGATATAAAGCTCTTTTTTTTAAATCAAAATAGAAAAAATTCCAAGATTTTTTTTTGCTAGCAGTGAAAAAAAGCCATTTTAGCGCGAGCGTGATGGCACGTACTGTGCAATTTATACTTGGGCATTACGCGTAATGTCCCTGAAATCAAGGCAGTTGACAGCCAATCAGATTTGAGAACTTTGTTATAGTTATGATTAAGTATGGCATTAAGTCCTGCTCTTTGTGTCGACTGTGCTTGGTTTTGAGGTGCAGAGGAGAGGGCTCAAGGTGTTATTCGCATCCCTTCCTTCTCCACCTCCTAGAGCTATAATTTAAGGCGGAATGTGTTTGTATCGCTTAACACGTACAATACGATCCTTTGATGTGTTATTATTGTTCATTCAAAATATTTTCCCGTTTAAACCCCAGCCTAATTTTTTTATGTCAAGCTCCCGTTGATCAAATGTCGATATCATCAAAAGTTCAAAGACGAGCCACTTTAACGGTTAATTGTTCAGAAAAGGGACATAACAGTAGGAAACGCTGTGTACAGGTCAGCTGTTTTTGGTAGAGCTGGGGAGAATGGCGGAAAGTTCCACGTTTGCGAAGAACTCTCTTAAGACATGGCAAAAACAGAAGAAAGGCTTCTAGACGGACTACACTGCTATATCTGCAACACGAAACATCACTTTATGTCTTGTATTTGCCGAGGAAAGGGCGTGTTGCCAAGAAAGGAACATAACATCGATTGAGGTAAGCATGTAACCAGGGCCAATATCCAGAAGTCAACCCGCGAACAAAGGTTTGATGGTATTTAAGAGCCAATGTCTGTAATTTTCGAGAATCGGTTGACAGTCGTGAATTTTTGAATTTCTTCATATTTTGCTCAAATAATCTCTATAGTACACTAATTTCAAAAATCACGTTAAAACTTGTATCAGCTTTTTGTTTTTTCAGGAATCAGGCAAAGTTTGAAAAACTCTAAATCGGCGCTCTTTCGAGTATGAAATTAGCGAAAATGGAGCATTTTCTTCGCGCTCGTACATAAAAACGGAGTAATATCTCTAGATGAAATCAAGTCACAAAACATACACATATTTTTACTTTATAATTCAGCAGTTAACTTTAAATAAACCGTTTAAATGTGACTGTACCGGCCCAAAGAAGAAACACGGTTTCAGCACTTTTAAAAAATGGCAAACTTGACCTAACTTCACCATCGTAAAAACACAGTTGGTACACGGAATTTCAATATGAAACAAGAACTGTATTGAAGCATATCCTTTGCTGTTGTTTGTGTTGAAATGTTTCTGGCGGCATTCCAAATGCGCACCGTCGAGAGACCAAAAACTGAAGGGTATTTTGACACCAGGAAGGCGCGTGCAACAAGCAAGTTTCAACGCTTGGAATATTAATCCTTCGCAAACCTAAGTTACTTCGACATTTAAATCCTAGTCAGAGTTGTAACGGTTTCAGATTATATTTCGGCGTTTCTGTTCGGCTTAACATGATTCCTTTCAACTGATTTTTGCGATAAACCATAATGAAGAGACAATACGCAGTTCAAATCACAGTTAGTAGAAGGGAATATTGTCGAAATACTCGCTTGCTATAGTTTTAATCGTATTGAAACCTTAATATCAGAAACGTTATTTACTCACCTGAATTTCAATGCTAGACGGGGTCACAGTACCGCTAACTAAATTCTGCATCTCGGCAGAATCGAAGTTAAGTTTGTATATGTTTTCAATCTGTCAACACGAGGGAAGATGACATTCCGGAAGTGCGTGACGCGTAACGCGCCGGAAAAGAAATTCCTGGTATAAGTGTTTTACGGTGCAAGTCTTTGTTGTATGTTCGTATAGAATCGCGCGCATATTCAAACTTGGTTTGTGGCGCCTGTGGCCCCAGTAATGCTGAATGTATTGCGATCATAGAAAAGATGTCGTGAGTCACTTGGTATACTCCTGACTTGTTAGTCACGTGAGTATGTAGGGCAATAACCAAACATCGACCCGACCATGCTAATGATAAAAGTAAGGTTTTCTGCATTTACGTTAGGTGATCTTTGTTCGATCCACAAAATTGGCGCATGAAAATATGAGTTTTTCCTCACCACCTCTAAATGTTTGGTTCCGGGTAGCGGTGCAACAAATCACGTGGTACCGTTCTAGATCAACCTACTGGCTGCTCATAGAGGGGTCCATAAAGGCACATTGATTGATGACTCTGTATAGCCTGAACTGAAAATGATATACGCAGACTTTTTCTGAGCGACGAATGTGCAGCTTTTACACTCCTCTTTCGTTTGGAAAATAGACGAGCACGCGAGCGAAGCGAGCGCGCGAGAGAGAGCCCCTTGCTCTACTGGTCAATAAATCCCCCGCGGCTTTTATTTTCATACGCAAAGTCGACGATCTCCAAAGAGAAAATAGATCGACGATCTCTAATGAAAAAGTAGAGGGTCTGTGAACAGGCTACGAAGGTGCTTGCTATTATTTTAGTGAACTTTACAAGAGGTCTCAGGTGATTATGATAACGTCATGAAAAGTCTACTTTAGGGAAGGAGGAGGAGATGGGTGGGTTGGTTGGCATTGGGTTCTCCATTAGGATCAACCCTACACATACAACAATTCATGTATTTATCACTACATTTAGAGCTAGCAGACTTTGTTTGATCCACAAAATTGGCGCATAAAAAATAAAAGTTTTTCCTCACCACCGCTAAATGTTTGGTTCCGGGTGGCGGAGAACAAATCACGTTGTACCGTTTCAGAACAGCCTACTGGCCATGCTGGCTGCTCATTTAAAAAGGGTTCTGTAAAGGCACATTAATTGATAACTCTGTGCGGCCTGAAGAAAATTATATACGCAGACGTTTTCTGAGCGACGAAGGTGCTGCCTTTACACTTCTTTTTCTTTTCGAAAATGGCCACGGACTTCTCGCCTCGCTCCTCGCCGCTAGGCGGTTGTTTTTGCCTTTGCGGTTGTTTTTGCCCACCACGAAGTAGTTTTAGCACACAAGTCACTGCAGGTGCAGACCTAGGAAAAGGGCATTCTCCATCTGAAATTTTAAATCGAAATGAAAGGCTGTTTTCAGCCTTTTATCTCTTTTCTCCGCAACGTATTTGGTTGAAAGATAGTAAGTAAAATGTTAAAGCATTTTTCATTTACGCGACGGACTTTGACGTTATGAAAAAGAACTTGTCAGTGAATTGGTTTATTTTCTAACCTGCGAACAAGTGCCGGGGGGATGGTGGCGGATAGAGCCAGGTGACTACTTTTTTTTTCAGGCGGAGCTAACAGTACGTGCATTCTGGTCTACCCCATACTGTGTAGACCGGCCTTTAAGGGCCTCTCTTCGGGGGGCGAGGGATCAGTACAATTCGTCAACAGCAGATTGAGGTCTCGCCAGAAGTTGCCCTTGCTGAAGAGGAGCAAAGCAATACTACTTTCAGTAATTTAAACATGTTAAATACTTGTATTTCGCTCATCAAATGTGTCCATTGTCCATTTTCGATTTGTGGTTTTTCAGGAATGTTCTTTTGCGGAGCATTGGCCAATTTTCTTTAAACAGTTTTACTCGTTTCCATTTCCCTGCTCTACCGTCATGTTGCATATGGCATACGTGTGTACCTAAATCCCTCAATTCATTAAAGAAGTCTATACGCTAAGCGGGGTAAAGATTAGTTTATTACAAGCAAAGGCACGGAAGGCTTAGTGCAAATAAAAGAAAACTAGTGTGAAAAGTTTTGCAGACTCGGCTTACTCTATTTGTTTTCTTTCTCTATTTGAGTTTCGGCTGGTGACATCCTAACATCAAGTTTAGTTCGACATGTTTTGGGAATATAAAATATAAAACTAAAAAAAAACAGTGTTAATTGTACACTCGTGCGATGATTTATCCTTGTTTGTACAGTTGCGTGACCAGACTCAAATTACACACGGGCTTTCATCACGCATGACAGCGTTTAGTCCGAGGCTAAACGAGGGAAGATTTCAGCAAACTGCGGCCACTTGCGGTTGAAACGACTGTGGTAAGTAATTCTTAGAGATGTCGAATGCCATTTAGAGCTAGCACGCCGTTTCTAGCGGCTTTATTTTAGGTGCAGAAACTCGAGGTCAATATTTACAGTCCATGAGAACTTAACAGCGTTGTCTTTTTCAGCTACTTGCGTGCAATCAAATGCAGTGTTAATCTACTTAGTTCTTTTTTATGACTATCAAATTGAAAATCGTTTTTCAAAACATTTTTAGAGCTTCTCGTAATGTGCCCCTTGTAAAACAAGCTAAATTAGCAAATACTTTTGTGTGCCTACACTCGCGGCTAGCTTGTTTTCAGCGTTCCAACGTGCGAAACTACGCTGCACGTTTCGGTGTCTCAGCGACGCACTTTTGTAATGCCGCCAAAAATTTTTTAACTCAAGAAACGGCAAAGGATATGCTTTAAAATAGTGTTTGTTTCATGTTGAAATTCCATGTATCAGTTGTTTTTTTCGATGGTAAAGTTAGGTCAAATTTGCCATATTTGAAAAGAGCCGAAATCGTGTTTCTTCTTGGGGCCAACACAGTCACATTTAAACAGCTTGTCTAAAGATAATTGCAGAATTATAAAGTACAAGTCTGTGTTTTTCTTGTGACTTGATTTCATTTAGAGATATCATCCCGTTTTTATGTACGAGCGCGAAGAAAATGGTTAATTTTCGCTAATTTCATACTCGAAAGAGCGCCGATTTGGCGTTTTTCAAACTTTGCCCGATTCAGGAAAAAATAAAAAGCCGTTACAAGTTTTAATGTGATTTTTGAAATAAGTGTACTATAAAGATTATGTGGGCAAAATATGAAGAAATTCAAAAATTCACGACTGTCAACCGATTCTCGAAAATTAGACATTGGCTCTTAACTGCTGTTGAAACCGGGATCTCAAACAATAGTAGTGCACACATGCAATCCAAGCAGTGAAATACAGCATACACTTTTACAAGAGAGGATAACCAGGGGTATCCAATAATGCTAGCAGTTATGGGACATTCGATAAGCGATAAACCAGCAACTTTTTGGCTTCTTCAGTTCTTGGTAAGACATAATTATGACAACTTTTGAGTGAAACTTGACAAAGCGTGAAAATGAGAAAGAATTATTGAAAGAACTAAACGGTAATTGCTTGTTTAAACGTTTATTCATTTGTTGAAATAAATTAAGTGTCTGGGTACCGTGATATAAAAACTGGTTAGAGAGTAGATATATTTCTAAATTCCAATAAACAATATTTTTATGAACATCTCTGAAAGAGAAACGAAACGTTGATATATATATATATCTATGATAAATTGGTGATGTAAAATAAACAGAAGTAGAAAATCGGGAAGTCTGTTTTTTAACAACCTGTCACGAGTTATTTCTTATCATGACCTGGACAGCAAGTGTATTCAAACAAAACATATCATACCAAGCATCGATCTAAATTATGAACGACAAACGGTTGAAACGGCACAAAGGAATTCAATTTCATTAATTCTTAAATCTTATTTCATAATTTAATACGACTAATTCTACGAAATACGAATAAAACGAACTGAATCTCTTTCTGTGACGTGATGCTAGTGAACTGAGATCACAAAACACATTAAGCAAGGTAATGGCTCAAACAAATGTACTCCAACAGAACCCACCATGTCTTGTTAGGGTCAAAAGGTAACGTGAGAGACATCCGGTGAAATGACGATCTGATTGGTGAAACTGAATTGTCGAGATACTGTCGTCAAACGGGGAACATGTCAGGGAGAAAAACACCGTGGATACCTCCTCCCTCAACTGAGTCCCAAACCAAAGCTCATTTAGTTTCCTACAGGTAGCTCAAGCAGCGGCACAACTTTGTTTACGATGGGTGTGATAGAAAAGGTTTATTTTTCCTTTATGAAGAAGACAAGCCAAACTGTATCGATAATTTTGTCGCCGATTGTAGTGAACAACATCTAGTGCACCTAGTGGTGAAATCTGTTGACAGAAGGATGAAAAACGCTGCTGGAGCTACACAGAGAAGGCAAGTACGCCATCGTGATTGGTTGAACAGTAAAGAGGGCTGCTACATGTTTGTAGAATAGTAGGTTCTGTAAGAGAGCAATCGTTTTGTAATTATTGTGAAAAAGTTATAAAAATCAAAACTTTTGATCAGAAAAACTATTTTTTATAACGATTTTTCCACATTTTTCAGCGCAGCTTTTCTTACGAATAGTGTGTTCAAAAATAACGCTTCTCATAATCTTGGTTGAGGTGCTAAATATAGATTTTTTTGAACGATCATTGATAATAACATGTAAGAAATCAGAGGGTTTTTTTTGTTTTGCTTCTGTGCGAACAACAAAACATACTTTTATCAATATTTATGTGTTCAATAAACACCAAGTTTCTTATGGAAACGAATCGCGAAAAATATTTCACCGGTTTTTCTAGAGAAGCGAATGTCTCAATGTTTGTTAGGACTACTACAGCTTACTGTGTTAATCGAAGTCATCATCGCAGGCAAAACTTTGATTCACACGAAACGATTGCGTTTCTTATCAAACAGAAACACATCACATGCGGCAAGTGCCAAGGGTTTGAAGTTAAAATCAGGCTTCACACTTTCAGGGCCGAAATCAGGCAACGATTGAGTCAGCAAAAACACACAATATTCCAGTCACACATAAGAAATCAAATGCGCGGGTGGAGCAATTGATTTACAGCCACCTCTCTTAAGACAGACTTCGTTAGAACCACAACACCAGGGGTACCAGGTGTATGAGTAACATGGAGCGCGGTACGAATGATCCGCGCGGGGAAGGTGGATACGCTCGTGATCCCTTTCTTCCGGCTATTTGCTTGTTCTACAGGGTAGTCCGTTTGGAGAGAGGTGACTACATGAAATTGACCATTATATTCCTTTAATTTACTCCATATCAGGGGCGTAGCTAGGGGGGTCCTGGGGTGCCCGTGATCCCCCCTTGGTAGGCCTTCTTTTGAGCAAACAACCTACAATATTCAGGTGGCGAAAACGCCATGACAATATCTCGGCCTTAAAAGCCATTGTTGAAAAGCCCACTTTTTTAAATTTTGTTTTTTTTTGTATTTTCGTCAACGGCTCTTGCTTTTAGTTAATATGGGCCTTCATGCCGCAATAATACGACTGAGCCCGCTGATCTAGTGAGTAGCCTCTGTGAACCCCCCTTAGAAAAATCCTGCCTACGCCCCTGCATATGATAACCTATCTATACCATATCGCTTGACTATTTCACGTCAAGCAAAAAGCATTATATCGGCATTTCAGGAAAATACCACAATACTCTTTAACGTGTTGGGTTTAGCCTCTATACACGTGTAGTAGGTAACAAGTCTTAAAAAATTTGCATGGTGCGCAATATTATAATACCAATGCAAAGGGCAGGCTTCAACTTCTGTTCTCTATTAGTACATTCAAGCTTCATTTCAAGCTGCAATCAAGATTTCCCTGCTAGCAGAGGCTACTTTCCGAATTTTATTGGCGAGATCTGCTAACAGGGAAACTAAGACTGAAGGTTCCATGATTAATGATTAAACCTGAATTCCATCTTGTCATTCCAACAATTGTTATTGGAATAACTGCTCCTAGATAAGTCTAACCCTGTACTTTAAAAATTCAGTATTATGGTAGATTTTGGAAAGGTCCATTGTACAGATATCCACGAAACCTTAGCTCCTATTTGATAAGAGTTTTCCCAAGGCTGACGAATTTAATCGAAAATAATAAAGAAGAAACAGTAGAAAAGTGGCTTTTCTTTTGGTGTGGAAAGAACGTTCAAGAGTAGGGCAAGACAAATTCCTTCATTGTTTCCGCAATCAATTTAAACCTAGTAAGAGAGAGTTCACGCAAATCACTAAGGCAAATTACTAAATGATTCTTCTCGGTTTTGAGTGTCTACAGTCGATGAGACAGCTATGAAGATCAACACCAACTAAAACCTGTGCAATGTCGATGCGAAGACAATGTTGTCTTCATTTCTGAAGTAATTGCTTGAATTCTCCAAAAAAAGAAATGAATTTTTGTCAACGCCATCTTGTAACTGCAATCTCTACGTTGCTTAACGGACACCTGCACAAGTCAGACACATAAGTATAAGATGGACAAAACTCTTAGACGGACTCTTAGAATTGACTGTATTGCGAACGGCTGGGTTACATTTGTTCCCCGACAAAAACAGCGTGAACGTTTTTATATGGACTGTAATCTACGGAACCAGATTTACTGAGATTCTGTACAAAATATTAAAATGAACAATTTAAGCTTAGACTACGGTCCCCCAGCCCTCTCGAATTTTTTCAGTGACTTGGTCAAAAATACTTGCAAATGACGTCCCGCCTTCAAATTTGTTACCGCAGTCAACAGCCTTGAAAAAAACATGAAGAAACAAACTGCGTATATCTCCTAAGCGCTTCTGGCGATCAGAACATTCATCCACACTCTCTGCCCTGTCAGGATCAAACAAATATCAATGATTAGGGTGCGGCGTTCGACTGACATTATTCTGGAACAAGAACAAGCATAAACTTACAGACTAGTTGTGCTACTGCCATGATCAAGTGTTGATATCGGTGAGTCACGCATAGATGTGGTACCATTTGGACTCCCTGTACCGGAAATTAACTGCCAACTAAAATACAAAAATACCACATACAATCATGAACGAGTAAACTAAACCTGACATACAGCTCCCAGTATGTGGGCATTCTTACGCTTTTTTGTTCCTTTTAATGACAATTGTCATTGGCACAATTTTAATTAACTATATTATAGATTGAGCAAAAACTAAAACAAAAACAGAAAACATGGATCTATGATGAGTTCACTGAATTGCTTTCAAACCCAAAAACAAACTGGGTAAAATAATCATTTGAACACTGGCTTCCACACATAACAAAACAGAATAATAAAGGTCAATATGGAGTGGTACCTTCCACACACGGATGAAGAAGACGGTTTCTGAAAGGTAGAGGATAAAATACGTTATAAATAGCGCAAGGAGCTTAAGTGTGACCATTTAAACACCTGCGTCTGAGTAGCAGTATTTACAGTTGATGTAGTGATGATTTACAATGCGACTGCAGTTAACCAGGCCACCAACAAAAATGGCCCAGTCAGATAACCGTGTCTAGCCACGAATTCCAGCAAAGGTTATTAGCCAACTAAACTAAGACTAAATTAAGACTTTCCCACCGAGGCCAATCTATCATTAAAACGAGCACCATGTATCTTCTGTCCACTAATCGTAGAACACTTTTAGAATTATTTCGCACCAACGATTATAGGTCATCTACAAGTTGAAAATTGAATAAATGAAGTTAAATACGTAATAGATGTCCAATCTAGAGAGCCAAATGTTTGCTGTTTTGCTCAAAATTCACTGTTTGCCTCCTGCAATCTGAAATTGGATAGTTTTGTTTAAGAGGCGCATGTGACAGTGGTCGCACAGTAAAAGACACAGATATTTTAAATATCTCCAAGGGGACTTACCCTAAAACACTTTCGAAATTCGTGAGACGTCCACCAAACATTTAAGGTATGATGAATTTTAAAACCCAAATGACCGCCACGAAAGGGACATCCCCGGAAACCCAGGGGCGGTCAGGTTGGCTCGGGCAAAGAGGGCGGTGAAAGTTTTTTCAAGGACGGGCGAGAGAGTCCCTAGGAAAGTCCCTGGGATGGTACTCTTAACAGACCAGTTCCACGACTCATCCGAATGCTTGTCTATTTTTTGTGCCCGATCGGAGGCCAGCATCTATCGCGCTGCTTTCGTGGTCTTCTTGTATGAAGGGGTTTAACTGCAAACTCGACGGTTAGCCGAACCTGTCTGGGTCGTGCAGGGGAGCGTTCTTCGAGAAGAGTTTCAGTGAAAACGGACCCCCAAAATCAAAGAAATTCCATAATTTAGCATGTTAGCTAAACAAATAAAAAAAAGAGCACCAATTGAAGAAATTTCGTATAAGAAGACCACGAAAGCAGCGCGATAGATACTGGCCTCCGATTGAGGCAGAAAAACATTTTTTGAGCCCAATCACAGACAAGCATTGGAATGAGTCGTGGAACTGGTTCGTGAACAGTAGTATCCCAGGGGCTCTCTCACCCGTTCTTGAAAAACTTTCGCCGCCGTATTTCCTGGCCCAACTGACCACCTCTGGCTCTTCGATGATGCTCAAGGTTTTGCTGGATAAGGTTTTTGCAGACATCAAGAATTGGCGACGAGGTATTCTAAGTCGAGTGAGCGCACGCTTCTATGATACTGACGTTGTCGTTGCTTACTTTGCACAGTTCAAAACATCGAATTTCAACAATTTTCACTCTTGGGAGTGACAAGGTTACTGTTAAGATTCAGCGGCACTTGGTGAATAATTGGGACAGACTGTCAAGTTAAAAAAAATCCTACGTACCTGATCATACGTATTCGAGTTCTTTCGTGATCGCCGGGGTACTGGAAGAGGACTAGTGGACTGGTGCCGACACTCGTATTCATACCCAGCAGAATGAGAATAAGGCGGTGAATGATATGCGGCTCGTGCACCACTACAGTAAGAATCAGTGAAGTAAAACAGAGAGAGAAAGAGACATTCAGTAATCTATACACTTAGTCTCAGATCAGAATACAAAATTCTCTCCAGTTTGTGGTGTATAGACTAAACTTAAAAAAAGTTTGCATTCCGAATTCAATGAAACGAATTCCTGATTGCTTGGTTGAGGAATAAAAGTTAGCTTCTTGTGTAATCCAACACACACTTACTATGTAAACGATGAGGACGACATCTCAGCATCTTCAGTAATTTCCTGACCAATGAAAAAACCTCTTTGCTCTGACACACTACTACAGCTGCTTAAGCTGGAGTTACTACCACGTGACACACGATCATCTGTTTGAAATACACAAAGAGATCAGGAAACTAGCCTGCGTAGCTGGCGGGATCACACTGCGGGGGAGTGCTAATCGAAATCTGTCGTCTTCCCAAGGAAAACGTCACGAAAGTTGGTTGAAAGTTCTTAGGAAACAAAAAAGACATTATTAAGATAAAAGAACAGAAAGGGCCGTCAAGCAAGTACTTGCACATGAAACGAAACAAAAACAATAAAGCTTAGGCCGAAACCAGGGTGTTATTGACACAAAGATGAACAGACCATTTTACAGTTGTGGACTTAGTACCCTAGCCTTCGAGTGAATGTGAGGCAGACGGTGACCTTGTTTTGATACAAACCTCCTTTGCTTTGTTATGGAAATTGTCCTTGAAAAATACCAGTTAGCATAAGAATAACTTGATTTACATAATAAAGCACGAAGGTTTGTATCAGAACAAGGTCACCGTCAGCCTCGCTTCCATCCATAACTGTAAATTGGCCTCTTGTACACAAAATTATCCCCATTCCTTTGCAGCTTCACTGCCTCAACAACAAACGCAATGGAGGAGTTAAGCTCGCGATAAATCCCGCCAGTCGTTTGCAGGCTATCAAAAAACGTTACTCTTAAACCAGCTTGCCACTCCTTTTGGAGGTGATGCCAGATCACATTGTACCGCTCACACCAATCGAATTACTTTCAACCACGTAGATTTGCTGCCGTACCATTTTCAGATGAAATATACTTAGCTATCAGACAAGGGAAGGAAGTTTTCATTCGACTGAGGAAGAATGAGTCCTACCAAGTCATTTGTTACATTTCAATAAAGAAGATCCAAGGTAAAAATATGTAGAAAGCCATTTACCTATGTCTAAAAAAGAGAAAAAACAACTTTTTGAGGCCCTGTTTCAAAAACACAATCGGGTCAACCCACCTAACAGAACTGCGCCAACATCTAACTGGCCAACTGAGTCGCTTCTTTTGGCAGAGGCTCTAAAACACAGAAGAAGAAAAGGAAGAAAGGTAATGATAGTGAAGAAACTGAAGATCTAAACCTGGAAAATAATAGCATACTGTGTAAATACATCATACTACATACCTCCGGCTTAATGTATTTACAGAATAGTCATCTGAAGCAATGTTCTTCAGGAAATTGAAACAAAAAAAGAAAACCTGAAAAAGGAAAGAAAACTTGTAATGGTTAAATTATTTTCAAAAAATTAAGTAATACTCATATTAAAAACACGAGAGCCAGAAAAAATGAAATTAAAAAATAAAAACAACATATAGAGTGAGGAGAGAATGCTGTATTCGAAGGCTAGGCATGAATGTCAGTTCGACCAGCTGAAAAATTTGACGAGCTTGGTTGGATTTTTCACTTTTATCAGAGGTTTTACGATCTGCCCATGCGCAGAGAGCTACTTTAGCAAATCAAACATGGCGTCTCCCAGCTGAGTTACCACGTATCCATGCAACCACTCCTCTGCCGTATCAAAATTTACATTTTTTTTGTTGACGGTAATGGTGTTCGACCGGCTTAGAATTTTGCCTCGATTTTGGCGTTTAAATTTTAAGAACAGCTAGCCACGGTTAAGGTGGTTTCGTGTTAAAGGAACATCTAAACAAAGGAGTTTTCTGAATGTAGCCTTAGACTGACATGTTTTACCTCTTCTCCGCGTTGAAGTCTTTCAGGAAGGCTGTGCCTAAAAATATATATATATTTGTTAATCAGAAACGTAAATAAGTTGAATACATTAATAACTACCAATTACAGTGTAGGCCTCTTTTTCTTAAACTTCTGTAGGAACCTTGACAAGCTCAACTTTACAGATCACTTGATTTGAAAACGACATAAATCATGTGACATACATTGAGTTACGAGTAAAATCCCGCGTGAAAGAACCTAGTGCTTTAATAACCTGCTGACAGAAATTTGCCATTTTAACACCCAAAATACAAGAACCTGTATCCCATGAGGGATACAGTTAAATTATGCTGACATGCTGACTTAACTCTCTCGTTCTGATATTATTCTTAACGTTTATTTAATACATATGTATATATATATTTTTGTTCTCACAACATTTTGTGTTATAACCATTATAGTTATTTCAATTTTTACAATTTTCTTCCTTGTATTAAGGGTAGTCCTCGCGCAAGTGTTATTCCATGTCTCGCGCATCTTAAAATTGTACGCTATTTTTTCGAAATTTTGAATTGTATCACGTTTTAACTTGTACTTCATTGCTTGTATTAATTCAACCGAACTTGCAAACGAATTCACAACTGAAGATGATCGTTGAACGATCGAAACATGTCTTGTTTTAAACTTAAAGTTGTTGTACATTTCTTAAAAATAGTTAAATTAACCAAGAAGTTTGACTTTGATATATTGCAAATTTATATTACAAATAAATACTTAAAATAATATTAACTTTATTACTTCGGCGGAGCGCGAAGTAAAGGATTCGCGACGCTCAGGAATGTATCAAAGTTGCAATTTTTTGACAAGATTGGGCAAGCAGAGTTTGTAGGTTTTCGGCTCTATTCGGCTACTTCAGAGAGTGAGAGCCGAATTAGTTCGAGATATCTCGAAATCACTTCGATTTCTTTGATTTATTCTTTAACTTTTTCAAGGAAGAAAGAATTACTATTTTGGCCTTCCCGGGGTTTGAACCGACTCACCTGTGTGACCCGTCAGATCAGAGGAGACTCTAAGTTGAGGGATTAGCCGATTGCGCTACTGCGACCCAAGGTAGTCTGGCATGTGAAAAATAGTTATGAAATGATGCACTAGTTTCGGGACACGATTGGGCGTGCAAGTTCGTGACTTTTCGGCTTGTTTCAACTATTTCTCGAAATGAGATCGGACTACTTCGTGATATCTTGAGATCACTTCGAGTTTAGTCTTTAATTACTCGAGGAATAAATAGAGGATATTACGTGGCCGCGCAGAGACACGAAATTTCTCTTCGAATGTTGAAAAACATTTCACGAGTGAGCTCTCCTTTCGAACTGTTTTATGATGAATTTAAAGTTACAAAATGCTGCACAAAGACATTTTATCTTTGTTGAGTGTTACGTAGTAAAATTGCTTTCATGCGTTGCGTGACTTTCTCCACAGGCGGCCCAGACGTAGTATGTGTCACTGAATGAATATATTAATATTCACATGGAGAAATTAATGCGATGAGTCGTCGAAACTCCAATGAACTAAAATAGTCCAAAAATTAAAATATAACAAAATAAAGCTAAGATACCTTTAACTGAACGTATCCTTGTCTTTCCTGGCCGGTTTAAGTGGCATTTTGTTGAGTTTTGCAATTGTAGGTAAAACAATGTTTGCATTTTTCAAATATCTTATTCTGTCAAGTTATTGGTAGGTACTATCCACTATAGAAGAATTAAAGGCTGGCTACAAAACAAACAGACCATCTCCACGCGCCTTCACACGAAGCGCTATAAATTCGAGAATAATCGACGAATCCGCTCCAAATAACCATCGGCTAATCTGCAGGTAACGTGTGCTCCTGCCTCTGGCTCGCTTGCTCCACAAAACCCATCGCAACTGCACAATAATTGCTCGCTCATCAACAACCACTGTTGACCTTTACGCTTCGATATGACCGCAAACGACCAGGTATAATACGCGACGTGAATATTCAAGCTTAGCGACCGCGTTCGCGCAACAATGCAGCACTTGCTATGGGAGGGATGGTACTATTGCTTCTAGGTCAATCAATCGGGAAAATAATATTGAAGCCCTTATAAGTTTTAAAAAGATCCAATTTGCCCTAGGAGCACCGAACAGATACGAATCTTATAGCGGAGCTAAAAAAAATGAGCAGCAGTGGAAAAAGTGAACAAGAACATGTACCACATTTTCTCCATAAAAAGTGAAAACCAGGACGTTTTCTGGACGTTTCACGTTGCAGTCATGCAAATCAACGGCAAGGAAATGTACAAGAAAGTGTGCTGCAATTAGACCTATTGTTGTTTTTCACAGTTCTGGTCAAGGGCATCCAACTTTTAATTTTTCACATTTCACTCACCGGGTTAGACTATTTTTCGTAGAGAGTAAAATGGAATCCTAAAATTTTCGGATTCAAAAATGTGATGAAAGAAGGTATCTGAAAAATTATCTCCTTCGTAATACGTTAAATTGCATCTAAAATTTTCGGGAAAATAATTCTGAATTCCTCGTAATTTGGAAAAGACTCAAGTTCCTCTAGAATGGCCGAACACTGAGATGCAAGTTTTATAGCGCCACTTAGAATGCATTTCTATAGAGCTAAAAGTACTTTAGGAATAGCTACAAAAGTGTTTTCAATTGAAAGTATTTGAGGAAACAGTCGTTGGGTGGCCCTGTCTCGTTGCCTTCTCCGCTTAGCATTACACGATATATTTTATATTTAGTATGAGCAAACTATAAATCATTAGCTTCGCTTTTAGCCCTCCTGACTAAATTTATGTAAGCGCTGTTTAGAATGCATTTTTCGATCAAAAGTACTCTGGACAGCCGTAAATGTGTTTTCAATGCATTTAGGGGGAAATAATCGTTGGGTGCCCCTGAGTTTTGAGAATAATAATTATAATAATAATAAAAGATATCGCGCCCATAAATTATACTTTACGATATCTTCAGCTGTATCTTCTATTCAGCTGCATAGCGGGGGCCAGATTTTGCCTTTTTCCTGGGCGGAAAATTCTCGTCCTCCTTCACCAGTTTGGACAACATATCATGGAGTAAGACGTTGTTAATCTAAGCAAATAAGTCTGGTAGAGTCAAGAACCTATGCAAGCGGCTGGACGAACAATGGGACAGCATCTGAGACAGCGAACGTTGAAAACCAGGGCTGCCCTGTTGAAAACTTACGGACGGTCCCGCGATCGCCTTTTGTTTTCTGGTCAAAACTAACGCAGCGGACCCTCGCTCAGTGTTGATTGACCTAGAACAATTGTACCATCCCTCCCACTGCAAGTGTTGCATTGTCGAGCGGACGCGGTCGCTAAGCTTGAATATTCACGTCGCGTATTATACCTGGTCGTTTGCGGTCATATCGAAGCGTAAAGGTCAACAGTGGTTGTTGATGAGCGAGCAATTATTGTGCAGTTGCGATGGGTTTTGTGGAGCAAGCGAGCCAGAAGCAGGAGCACACGTTACCTGCAGATTAGCCGATGGTTATTTGGAGCGGATTCGTCGATTATTCTCGAATTTATAGCGCTTCGTGTGAAGGCGCGTGGAGATGGTCTGTTTGTTTTGTAGCCAGCCTTTAATTCTTCTTTAGTGGATAGTACCTACAATTGCAAAACTCAATAAAATGCCACTTAAACCGGCCAGGAAAGACAAGGATACGTTCAGTTGAAGGTATCTTAGCTTTGTTTTGTTATATTTTGACGTTTAGACTATTTTAGTCCATGGGAGTTTCGACGACTCATCGCATTAATTTGTCCATGTGAATATTAATATATTCATTCAGTGACACATACTACGTCTGGGCCGCCTGTGCTTTCTCGAACGTTCTCTACGTTTTTGGATTATGCATGAATAATTAATTAGGGCGTGTTTACATTTCAGCATGAGTCAGCAGATTTGCATGAGTTACTGAAATCATAATATGTCGAAAAGCTACTACTATTCGCCTGTTTAGTATTTTCTAGAACCTTATGTCAAACGGTATACAAGTTCCAAGCGAGTTCTTTTGACGAACTAAGTTTTTTCCCCACGAGCTGGACTGATGTGTTTAGTCAAGTGTGACGAAGGTCGATTTTCAGGTTCTGTGTTTACAAGTTCGCGGAAGCCGTAAGATATGTGAAGTTCAAGTGAGAGTTTGTTATTATTGGTAGAGGCTGTTTAGTTTAAAGCTCTGTAAAGGCTATTTAAACTTCCTTGTGTTAATCCGACATCTGCGACATCCCTGCGTGCTGATAGTCAGTGAATAATTATCCTCAAAACATTCGAACTCGTGACTTTGAGTTTTAGCCAATTCCTTGCTCAACGTAATTGACTCCTTACCCATGCCTTACATATCTTTAATCAGTACATGAGACTGCTATGCTGTTTTTGAAGCCTGATGTGACTAAGAAAAATAGAGAATTGTTTTTTTAGAAGGATTTGCATGGAGTCATCAGAGCATACCTGGGCCATATCGCGGAGACAGTTTGTCCTGAAATGCTAGTTTTTGGCAAGTAGGCCTCTTGGATGTTTTCAGAATATCCTGACAGATCCCATAATTTCACACCTTACTCTTACCATATTTGATTTCTTACTATTCCTCCGCATTTACAATTAATTAGTTCCCCAACCACGACGCCGAAGTGTACGCTAGGCCCGTAGCGTCTTGTTTATACATATTTTGAGCTTACTGGCTTATAGCCAGAAAGCTTTTTGCCGGCAACGGCGTAAGAATTATGGTAAAGTCATTTCTATTGTTTTCCTACGTGCGGTGAAGCGTAGCCTAAGAGTTGAAGGGACTGGGTTCGATACCTGCTATCTCACATTCTCTGTTCTATAAAGCGTTGTTATGACAAGGAGGAATTTGATACTGATCGTTCTTAGGGCTTTTTAAAAAGGTTAAATGGGATATCATGCTCCGTTATTATCTGGGCGTCGCCCAAATAGAGTAATCGATATTGCTTGCTTTGATTCAAAGTTGCAATAGGCACGCAATACGTGCGAACGTAAACAAGCCAAGCGACGCGACTGGAATGTCTGCCGCGCGATGTGTGAGGGCACAGCATTCATCCTCGTTACATGGGTCCCACAAATAATGCGTCGGCAATAGAAATCAAACGTATTGCACAAACAAGGTACACTGAGTGAAACAAACTACCAAATAATTTTTAAAATTTTCCCTTTGGAAAGTAATTGTCCTCGCGGCACAAGGCATGAATGTTTTTCCTCCGGACCACAGGTACCGGTCACTGCCCTTTTTATTTGGGCGTGGATCAAATAGAGTAATCGACACGGCTTGTTTTGACGCAAAAGTGCAATAGGCACGCAATACGTGCTAACGTAAACAAGGCAATTTAACAAGCAAAGCGAGTGCGAATGTCTGCTATGCGAACGTCTCGTACAAGGTAAGAGGCATGAGGGAATTTCAAAAATTAATCTGAATCATCAGTATTTTTACCTCATCAAAATTTGGAAGTTTGAAGGCGGGGATGAAATGTGTTAAAATATTCGGGTTTTCGTCACAATATTTAATTGATAGATTTTCGCAGTTGTTAAGATGTGAAGTCGCGTTGCACTTTATAAATACTTGAGATATCATTGATTTAATCTTCGAGTACTACTGGAAGTAACTTCAACTACGCATCTGACGTTACGTATGTACTTGACTATCACGCACTTCATGTCCATAGAATAGGAATCCCATATCGAGCTTTTCCGGAACGGGTGGGTCCACGAATTCTATTGCTTGAAAGAGTCGATTACTTTGGAACAATTGATTACTTCGGTGGTCGAAAACAAGAACAATCTTAATGAGCAAAACTTCGACGTTTACTGGAAAATCAGGATCGAGAATCGAGGATCGGGGATCGAGGATAGTCATAGGTTAAAAAAACTTGAAAATGAAATATATAAATAAATCGTGGATCGTGGTGATGTGGGCCACAAAGCTGTAGATACATTTCACAAAACATAACCCCGCTCGCGGTAATGAACACTAAATTTAAGTAAACTACTCCGAGTCTGACTGAGTCAGTCATTGTCTTGACGAGAAAGTGAAATTTTCCTGGAAAATGAAACTGTGATAAAATCCACGCTGAGTACAGCTCTAAATATTGTACTCTGATATCACGTAAACATTAACTGTACGAAGATATTAAAAGCAGATACTAAGCAGCCAGGGTAAATGTACTTACTTTCACGCAATTTTGATATCTTATAAAACGGACAACAAATTCAACAGGAATACGCGCGAACTGAATTAACTGTCTGTTGTATAAGGTTCTGCCAAACTTGCACAATTTTCCTGTGCTGAATAAAAACTGTACCGAGCCGTATCCTGTCCGCTGCATAGAAGGTATAGTTAATAATTACGCCTCGAGCCCGAATAGACTTTCGGCCTCATGGGCTATGGACTCAGAGGGCCATGAGTGCGAGAGGAATAATTGTTTTAGTAATGCACCTATCAATGTAATGCCGGCGGGGGGGGGGAGGCAGGGCATAGGGTGGGGATTTGACTTTTTTCAAAAATTTTCAATCAAATTCCCTGCCCACGGGCAAATCATTCCAGTCAAATGCAACCAAATTTGCCCACCCCGGGCTGCACATTGCTGTCAATCCAAAGGCAGAACCTAAGAAAGGCACAATAAAAATATCTCTGAATAAAACTCTACAATCTTTTATAAACGTTGCCAGGAGCGACGTTGCTGCATCACCAAAGATACATGTTCCTGTTCCTGCAATTATACGTTTTAACCATAATCCGTGTTACACTGCGTAGAATACTTAAACCTTTAGGAAGAAAGTCCACATTTTGTAAGTTTAAATATACGGTTCTTAATAAAGGGTACAAAGATAGTCAGTTTTATCAGTTTACAGTGAATGTAGCGAATAAGCCATACACTAATCAACTGTACTTGCAAAAATCGACTTGGTTTCTCTTTACTTCAGTTTACTTTGATACCACAGTATTTTAAGAGGTTCAATTGATCAAAAACACGCTAAAACAAACGAAATTTGAAGACAAAACAGTGAAATCCACTCAGCCTTTGCTTGTTCTCATTGGCCTCCATGATTTCCTGATCTTTTCAAACCGTACGGCCCATGCGTGAAGCGTGAAAGCGGGAAACATATGTTCGGTCTCAGTCTTTTTCGTCCGAGTCGGCAGTCAAATACCTCGACGTCGGGCGAAGAAAGATTCAAATATCCCCTCCCCTGGGAGAACAAGATCAGTCAAATGCCCTACCCCAGGGCCAACAAAGACAATCAAATCCCCACCCCATTCCCTGCCTCCCCCCCGCCGGCTTGACATTGATAGGTGCATAAAATCCAGCTAGTTGGTCAAACACATGGGGAGAAAACAACTTTAGCTAACAAAACGCGATTCAGCTGCCATTGTTTTTGTTTTCAAAGCCGGCGCTTTTCGCTACTAGTAGGCTATAACATGCGTATTAGTAGCTCAACCAATCAGATCGCAACATTGATAACAGACCACCAGCTGGATTTTACTAAAATATATTTCTTTATACTGATAAAAATCATCATTCAATTTTTTGAGTGTAAATCGCTGAAAGAATTCTCCTCACCGGAGCAATATCAATATGCAGGAGGTCTCAAACGCTTCACACCGGTGTGAAGTTAAGATGTGAGGCCTGTTTCTCCTTGCAATTTTTACCTTTTGAGTATTTACATTATGACATATAACACTCGTTTTGTATTCCATATGAAAAAGCGGCATAACAGCACCAGCTGACAATAAAACTTATCTCCAAGAATGCGAGATTCGCGGCTTCTAAGAACGTTCTTGTTTACAATCATTTTCCGCTTTGGGTAGCAATCCAATTGGCTTGCAGATTCCGAGCAGCTGCTACATCCACATTGAATGACTGATTTTCGGAAAGGAGGTGATTTCGCAACAAGTTGCATTCACTTTCGAACCGTAAAAGGGGCAGAGTCAAACATCTTCACGTGCAAACTGCGTTCATGACAGTTATTTTTAAAACCGCTGAGTTAATTAGACTAAGTCGTATTCTCTCATACACGAACCACGAAAGCGGCAAATTCCAAAGCTTTTACGTGCAACTGCGTAATAACAACTCACAGTATGAGCCGGGTTGGCTAGCTCTGCCGAGGTGACTATTATCCCGTACTACAGGAAAAGGACCAGCCCGGAGCCTCCATTTTTAAATAGAGATTGGAAGCAATGCGTGTGAGCAGTGTGTTACCCACTGTCCTGTTTCTCGCTTGATTCATTAGCAGGGCAGCCCGGCAAGCGTGATTACTAGGAAAATTTCCACCCTGGATCCTGGCATCACAATACTGGGATGCCAGCTAACCGGCTTGGCTTGATTGTCATATAATCGAAAAGTTGATTTTTGTTGCATTTAACTAAGGTGCCGAGAACTCTGCAAAGTGAGCCAGCCCAACTCATGTAATCAGGCCGTTAGTTCTATACAGCCAGATTGTATGCTCTCCTCTTTGCCACCACCGATTTTTCAAAGCCCCCTGAACACACACACACACACACACACACACACACAAAATTTCAGCCTTCCCTTCAACATTTTCATACCCCCTTCACTATGTTAAATGAACTTTTCCTTATACACGTCCTCTCCATACAAATAATCAAAAACAATCTCGGCCTAAATACAAAGCCTAACAACGTTTAAAATAAGTACAAGTATGTTTTGCTATTGAGAAGATCTTTCAGAACCACCACTTCGTTTCAACAGACTGTAACTACACTAACCCTTCATAAGCAAATAAGCCCTCCCACAACTAACTCACTGCAACACCTAAAATCACTTTTACCTTCCAAAAAATTATTTTTTGTTACAGTACTTCATGTTTCACTGATTACCAAACCACAGCCATTATCTTACCAATCCACGTGCAATATAACTCCACCCCTTCCACTTCACACATCTCAACCAACCCCTAAAATATACATCGCTACTGCATTACTCACACATCCCTAGTACATCAACGCCCAAATATACGCTTCCACAGCGTCTTGTTTTAAAAACGTAAGGTGTTTGCACTCGTGAGGAATGGCCTTTCAAATATCACAAACATGCTCTTGTTGCGATAATTCTCGAATTGAGTTTAGCCAGATTAATTTCTTTGCTATTTCTATCCATTCATATTTGCTTTATGCGTTGATTGAGTTTTACTAGTAATGAATATTTCTTAATCGTTTGTTTTAGTATTAAACATTGAAAATCACAATGTGGGAAAATACAAGGACCAAACCCAAGTATATTTATTTTTCTGGTAGTCAGCAACTATATCTCCTCCATAGAAATTAAGAACCTAAACGTGACCTAATTAAGAACCTAATTAGCTTAAATTACCAATAACTGCCCCAAAATACAAGACCCTTTGTGACAGACTTCAAAACATGTAGGTTCTCACAAGCGGGCTTTTACCGTATATCACATTAAGGAATTAATTCATGAGTCACAAAACTCTCTAAATTGCTCCAGCAATCTGTATGACTGAGGCAGTAAGCAAGGTACTAATTGTCTAAAAGTGAAGTCAAATCTTCATTGCTAAACCAAGCAGAATTTAATCTTACCCAAATAAAAACCAGTCATAAGCAACTGTAAGAAAGAGAATCTCTACAGCACTAAGGGATTGATGGATACGACCATCCTGAAAACCAACACGAAAAACATCAGGCAGCAGCTAAAAGTGTAGGGTGCGCCCTTTTGATCGTATTCCAGAATAAGAATACGTTAAAGGTTTGTTGCAAATCTCTTCCACCGTGAATTTTGTACCAGTCAATCTTTATATACAGCGGAATATTTTAGTTCAAGCAGTTTTGTAAACATTGCATTACAATGAAAGTTAAAACACGTACTTTCTAGAGTTAATTCCATTCATTCTTCTTCCGGAATAATGTCAATCGAACACACCCTTAATCTGTTCGAAACCCTCTATTTTCTCTAGAGATCGTAGAGGGCGCGTATGAAAATAAAAACCGCGAGAGACTTATTGACCGCTTGCGCAAGGGGATGGGGTGGGCAAATCTTTTTTACGCCGTTCGCGCTCGGAAAATTTGTCGAAAACAAAGAAAGAAAAAATATCAGTGGACAGGCTACTTAATATTGTGATTTTAGGCGAAAACACACCAAGTTTACATACAATTTCTGAAAATAGAAAAGTTATTGATACTCATTGTAAGACAATGTGAGATACATAAGAGGGTTGGACTCCAATTTAACTGCACCCTTGAAGACAAACAAATTGCAATTTGCATTAAGTAGATGTGTTTGACGTTTACTAGGTAGAGACCCTTTTATAGCCACACTTCTTGGATATTCAGTACTTCTGGGTCGAAAAGTTTTTACTTCACTATGAATAATTGTTAGAAAAGTGCTGCACGTATTTACTAATTTGAAACTTATGGAAGTCCTTTTAAACATTGTAAATAAATGGTAGAGTTGAAATTATAATGAAAAGAAAATGATTTACCGCCCACAATGACATTCTAAGAAGAGACACAAATAAAGGAGTTCTGTCCCATCCTGAGATACAATGTATTAATAATCCACCTTCACCTAAATTGAATAAAAAATAACAACGAAATGGAAGAGGATAAGAGGAATGGAAGTAAAAAGGAAAGAGAGTAAACCATGGGTTAGGGAATGCAGTGATAACTCAAGGAAATGTAGCCTGAATTTCAGCCGATTGATGCCGTCCAGTGACGTCATCACCACACGAAAACCGGGTAGTGATTTTGATTGGTTGATTGTCTAAACATTCGCATAATTATGCGTGATTGTGAGAAATTTTAGCGGGATTGTCGCTTGAGATTCAACTGATCACATCCCTTGCTTGCTTGTGTGGAGTTCAAACATTTCGATAATCTTTATCGTAAACAGCAAAATTGCCCTCGTCTTCGAACCTGAAATGCTAAATTGAACTGCGAATGAAGAATTATTGCGGAGAGTCGGTAGGTTTTTCATTTAGCGCCGCTTTGTAGTTTCCGCAGTGATTTTGTTTATGCGAAGTTTCTGAGACAAAGATTGTATTTCGAACTTTTTTAGCTATTTTCACCGTCAAGTGTACTGATTCTGTTAGCTTTTCTTTCTTGTTTCCTTGTTTTCTTTTTTCTTTGTTCACGACCAAATAGCTTCTTTTCAATTACAGCAACCCGTTGTGTTGTTGAACTAAGTGTTCTCTGTGTGTATTTATTTCATTGCGTGTTGCGACCGAGTTTGATTATAGAATTACGACTGGATCAGAGTACTGCACGCAGTTGATAGTTTGAACGTTAAACATGAATTACGATCGAAAAAAGTAAACCAGTCTGTCTCATGCAGACATTTCCAAACGAAACGTTTTGCACGAATTAAAGCAAAGGAGTAGTGACGTCACTGGAAGGCATTAACGGCCGGTCGATTCAGACTTTACTGAGGGAGTAATAACGCCTCGAAGTAATCGGATGAAATTCAGGCTAAAGGAAATGTCCAAAACTGAGAAAAATTGTATTAAAAGCATTCAGTGGCAGGGAAAAGAGCAAAGAGAAGGATATGTTATATGGGGTAATGCTGAGATGCAGTAGTAGTATAACAGGGATGATATCATCCTTTTGAACCTGGTAGGAATCTCATTGCTTTCTGGAGGAATACATTAACACCAATGACATCATAGCCTTGAGTCTATCTCAAGAATAAATGAAGTGGTGGTTTTAACAGTTTTAACAGGTTTTCTAGATATTTAGAGCGATTATGTAACTTTTAGGGATTATTTGCTTCATATTTGATGTCACCGGCCTGTGACGTAAAATCAGTGAGCCAAAACATAATTTTGGAAGTTCTAATTCCTTCCAATCATCTAAATTAAGGCATTTCGTTCCTTGTCAAACTCTACTGAGCATATTTCAATGCATTTAAATGCAATTTAAAGGAGTTAACAACTAAGAGCACCTTAAGTGCCTGAGGTCAGCAGTCTTTGACATGTGAATGTCCAGTAGCTGGCTACAGCGATCAAGTGACTCATTGGCGCGTTCAGTTTTCCTTCGTGTTGGTTTCTTTCAGCCATTTTCTTTGTTTTTCTTCTCTGTGAGCGGTTCTTTTCCTTTTTCCTTGTTTTTGTGTCCGTTTCCTCAAAGATTTGTCTTCAAACAACGCTTAACAGCATCTCGGCTTCGTTAGATCCGCACGGTCCCGCTTCGTCTAGAGTGGTGAATCAGCCCCCTCGACTACATCAGTTTCCACATCATCGTCCTCCTTTACTTCGGTATTATCGTCGCCCTCTTCGGTCGCCATCTCAGCGGAGACTCAGTCACAGCCCATTTCCCAAGCTTTTCAGCAGTCGCTCCCTCTGTTGGTGGCGACTTTTCGGGAGATCGGAGCGCCAAATTCTTCCAGCAGTACGTCTGGCAATTCCCACGCGGCATCTTCCGCGATAAATGTGCCGTCGACTCATACATCGACCTCGACTGGTTGTCACTCGTCTTCTTTAGCGGGTAGCGTGACTGTGCCGTCGTTTCTTTCTACTTATTCGTCTATCAGTATTCCCGTGGTCCCAGGTGCTTCTCAGCCGCCCGTCCCGGCTTCGTCGGCACCATCCTTGTTCGATTCTTCCTTGGTACCGACGAGTAGCAGCCCGACCTTGGCGCCTTCGGTCGGGAAAGTGTTTGTAGTTGGCCCCGGTTACGCGCCAATCCTGGGGAAAATGGTGGCCAAAATAACCAGTGGCGCCTTCGTTGACTTGAGCTTGCGGATCTCCTAGCGGAGAACATACGCGCCCAAGAGGCAGAGCCTAATTCCTATTTAGATGGCAAACTACTTGTTGCCCCTGCCAAGAAAAGGGTGGTAGAGATCACCGACATTCTCACGTGGATTCAGGCCTTTCCCATTTAACCAGACGGGTGGATCTTCTGCAGTACTTACCCTTCTCGCTGGCAAAAAACTACTCAGTATAAGTTACCGATCCTCCAGACGATTTGTCAGTTTCCTGGACCATCTTGGTTGAATTACGACACGGCATTCAGGAAGGATGCTGCAGCCTCTCTTCTAGCTGATTGGTCTAAGATGAACCTGGAGTTACACAACTTCCACACTCGAGCATCCGGTACCGTTACTGGTCAATCGGCACCTCGCTCGACTTCTCTGCCCCATACCTCAGCCTCATTGAACATCCTGCCTAAGCGTGCGAATGACACCATTCAGCACTGTCGATCCTGGAATGATGGTGCTTGCCGCTGGTCTCTGGGTCAATGTCGGTATTGTCATATCTGCGAAAGATGCGATGGTCAACACCCCCTTACCAACTGCACCTTTCAAGCCTACAAGGGGTCTGAGCGTTCCCGGTCCCTGGGGGAAAACGCAGTCGGCGTCAACAACAAGGTTGCCTTGCAGATTACAGCCCCCTCCTGCGTAAATAGCGTTAGTAGTTCTTTGACTGTTCCTTGTTCCACGTTTGCGTTAACTGGTGTTGATTCCCAGCAGAAGATTGGACTGCCCCGAAGTTCTTGTTCTTTCAATGACTCCTACTCGTCTGCATTGGCTCTGCCATTGCATCAGCCGCTGCTTCCTTTTTACAAAGTTTCTCCTATAAGAGTGGCAAAATTAAACAAGGAAATGCTCACACATCCAGATCAATCTTTTGTAACCTATGCCTTGGGACGGTCTTCAGAATGGGTTTCGTGCTGGTTTCGACCCTGCTTCGGTCTCCTAAAAATCGGCCACACAGAATATGCCCTTTGCTAGTCTTTTTGTTCCCACCTAGCCGATCGTTTACATCACTCCTCAATAAAGGTTTATCTCTCGGCGATATGGTCCTTGCACATCGATCAGGGTTTCCCCGATCCCTTGGTGAACAGCCTCCAACTTCAGCGTCTTCTCCCGAGCATTAAGCGCCATCAAGGCTTAACTCGCCCACAACGCCAGTCAGTGACAGCCGACTTCATGCGTATTATCCAGCGTTCCTTGGATACCCACAACTCAGAGCACGTCATGCTGTGGGCTGCCTGTTGCCTAGGTTTCTTTGGACTCCCCAGTCTCAAGAAGATTCTCCGCAGATGTTTGGCATAACGGTCACACGACTGTGCCTCCAGTGTTTGTCAGCAAAAAGATTGAACGCGATCTGAAAGTACGAGAAGCTCAGCCGCCTCTTGTTAACCACCAATGTCTTGCTTACAAATTTGTGCGATGCCGGTTATGTTGGTTACACATCTCGCCACTTACACCAGCGAATTAAGGAACACAAAAGAGCAAGTTCATCCCTCGGCCAGCACTTTCGTGTTAAACATTCTTCAGCACCTAAAGGTCTTAGTAATAATTTTAGCATTTGAAAGAAGTGTAAAAGGAAATTTGACTACCTGGTGTTTCAAATGTTTTTTTATTAATGAACTGAGACCTAGTCTCAATGTACAATCAGACTCACTTCGTGCAAAAGCTTTTAAATAGCTCTTTTAATTAGATTCTATTGTTGTTTTTTCTGCATGCTTTATTTCATTCTTTTATCACTTTCAAACATTTTTTATCCGTGATTTTTACTGTTAAGTTTTAGAAAACCTTTACTTATAACAGTTGTTAAATGCATTTAAATGCAATTTAAAGGAGTTAACAACTAAGAGCACTTTAAGTGCCTTAGGTCAGCAGTCTTTGGCATGCACATGCCCAGTAGCTGGCTACATCGATCATGTGATTCATTGGCGCGTTCAGTTTTTCTTCGTGCTGGATTTTTTCAGCCATTTTCTTTCCCCCTTCTCTGCCTAGGCTTTGTTGTTTTTTCTTCACTGATGTTTTCAGTGTGATGGGTGCCTGTTCCTTTCCTTTCTTGTGGGGGCTCATGGCTGGGTTGCACTGTTGTTCCAGTCATGGGGGCATTATTTCAATCTAGGGGCTGGCTGCAAATAGTGGAAGCCCCTAGATACCCCAGGCACCCACCCCCTATTTTAGCGACGCAGTTGTTAAGTACCAGAAACTCATAAGGGGTTGAAACGTGTAACTCTCATATGTTTTATTCATTTTCGGAAGTACCATATTTGGAACGAGAAGAAGAGATAACTGACCAATTAAACTTCGTAAACAACGTGACGTAATTTTCCTTCAGGTTCCCGCGCCCGCTTAAAAAAATGGCCGACAAACGGGGGAAAAACTCCCGAAAGCCGAGAAAGCTTTCAAAGGTTGAAACCAGATATTACCGAAACACTGAGCAGGATATTATTGACTTACCACCCGGGCCAAACGTAACATTATGAAACCCATTGACGGCCTCGCAACTTCTTGAAGTTGTCACTTCAAAAAACGATGCCTCGTTGACCATCTGCACTGAAAACTTATACTGCAAATAGGCTTTTAAAATTCTTACGTTAAAAGTCTAGAATAAACATTCTCAAACTCATTAATAATTCATTAAGAAAATACAAAGGAAATTAATGTTTAATGAGTGTTTGGAAATCGGATGAAACACTGCTTAGTATTTGCATCCTTAATTTCTCCTTCAAAAATGATTTTGTTTGAGAAGAAATATCAAACATTTGACACAGTGTTTCATCACCAGATGAAACACCTCGAAGTTCGTCAAAAATACTCCGCTGCGCGTCGTATTTTCAACTCTCTTCTCGGTGTTTCATCTGGTGATGAAACACTGCATCTCATGTTTGATATATTACGTGAAAAATATTTTCGAATAAAATTCATTAGCTGCGTATCGAAAAGTGTCCAAAAACTGAACCTGACATCTTCGCAAAAAGTGATGCTTGTAATGAATGTGAGAAGCATTTTAAAAGCTTAAATTAAACGTGGATGTTGTAGTCACGATCGTGTGTTGAGCTAATTTTATGAATGAACAAACTCAAAACAATAGACAGAGAAGCCGTGTCTTGAAAATTTTTATTCAAAGTCCAAAAAGTTAATCCTTTAAAGCAATTCGGAAAACACTATCTGGATGGTGGATCCGTTCACGCAAGTGAAATCGGCTAAGCAAATGGCAAATTTCAACACAAAATCCATCTCAAATCAGGGCACATTTTGTAATTTTTCTTTAGCGCCGAAGAGAAAAATTTATAAAACGTCTCTGAAACATTTGAAAATACATAAATTCCCTTTCAAAGACGTAATTGTCTTGGCCATAGAGTGCACAATGTACCTGAAAATTCAGCAAAAACTTCGCTCACTTGGTTGCATTTCAAAACAGACCATGGGCTCCGCTGTAAAGAAAACAAGGTTGAATTCCTCGAAGGACGATTTCTTGATGAAAAGCTTCCCTTTCTCCACAAAAAGAAAGCCGAGCATTCTTTTGAACTTTCTCTTTCCATTTTTTGTCTTTTAACGGTGTATTTTTAACCTTGAAATGCAGAACTCTTGTCTTAAAACATCTGCAAGGTGATCGCGTAGCAGCCATTTTGTTGAAAATGGATATCCGTCACAAAGGTTTCCAAATATGATAAAAGTGAATATTCACGAGCATTGAACGCGAGTTACACGTTTCAACCCCTTTTGAGTTTCTGTAAGTACGTAATTTCGCCGTATTTAATCTATCGTAGTCCATTATAAAAAAATTCTTGGTTCGTCAGAAAAGAGCACTTCGAAAAATGTTTTTCGCTGAGCCTACGGACCATGCCATTCCCTTCTTCCAGCAAACAAGATCTATACCCTTTAAGTTTTTGTATTTTAACCGTTTATTGTTGCTGATGGTTGAAGTTTATCATCACGACGTTCCAAGTGACCTAAGAAGCACGTTCAAGTTAACGACGGATGTTCATAACTACAGAGGGCATTTACTGATTCTTCTGAATATGTGCTCGATATGGTGTTTCCAGGATAGATCAGCGTCAATATAAACCCCTAGGTATTTAAATTATTCCTTCATCTCAAGACGTTTTTGCGTATTTGCTTCATTATCAAGAACAGTAATGTGAGGAATAAATGGTAAGGATTTTTGATGCGGTCAAATTACAAAGTTAGATTTCTTAATATTAAACGTAGTTTATTGGCCTTCAGCCGATCACAAAGATTTCCAAGTTAAGTGTTAATTTTGACTTCAAGTTTGCGTAAGTTTTTGTTAACATACAACATGCATCGGCAAACAAAAAACACACTACTTGATTTGTGGATATCATTAATGTACAGGAAGAATAAAAGCAGTCCAAGTATTGAACCCTGGGGGACCACATAGAGTGTTACTTCCTTGTCTGATATAGTGCAATTAACAAGCACTGTTTGTTTACAGTTTGTTAGGCATAATTTAAACCAGTTGTGCACGACACCCCTGATACCGTAATTGTAGAGCTTAGATAAAAGAATACGATGATTCAATGTATCAAACACTTTTTCATAATGGAATTCCACTGCATTTTATTCATGGGCACCTTTGATGTTCATATATTTCTCGATCTGCAAAGTAATGAGTTTCCTCCACAAAAAAGGATAATTTCATCACTACTATATACTACTTGCAGAGTACATGTATTGATGTTCCACCTTAACCTGTGATCATCAGGGTTGTAACTTAAGTTTCAAGTTGCGGAGTATAGGCAATTAGTAGACAGGAATTGAACAGCTAGGAAGTTCTTTTGGTTTTATTTTTCACTTGTCTTCTATCAAAGTAGCCTTAGTGACAGCTCTGAATAGGACAGCTGACAGCCACTACATGATATGGTTTTTTCGGACAGTTTCCATCAACACCTTAGATTCAGCAGCAGGTACTTACCATCTTTGATGCTGCTTATTAGAAGATGGAGATAGTTCTGAGTTAGTGTCACCAGATCCCATGACTAGAAGAACAACAACAAAAAATAAAGCAATTAAATAGAAATTACATGTAAAATTTTAATTACACCCTACAACAAGCCGGTGTTGCAGGGCACTTTCACGTGATGGGTGGGTCAAGCGTGATTCATAAAGTGTAGTTGGGTGATTTATAGAGGTTTCTTATCATCACTAACTATGTAAATGCATGTAGGTTTGAATAGTGTTATTCACTTGAACATTTCTCCAACACCCTAAACATCTTCTAAACAGACTTGACATCTCTTACTGACATCTTTGTTCATAAAGATGTCTGCAGCCAGGTCAGTTAGAGTATGGTGGCCATCTTACCTGATAATTATTCCACTCAATTCCAGAGCGATCAAGCAACAGATCAGGAACATTAAATTTGGTATCAACATAATCCTACAAAAAAAATTTCGGGTATCAAAAGTTATTTAGCAATTAATGAATGAGGCTGGGTAGGATATGAAGAGTTATGCAGATCGAGGTGGATAACAGCCCCCGAGATCTGCACAATTCTTTTTAGTAAAATCCAGCTAGTGAACTATTATCACTGCTGCATTCTGATTGGATGAGCTACTACTGGGCTATCTGTTATAGCCCGCTAGTAGCGGAAAGCGCCGGCTCTGAGGACCAAAACAATAGCGGCTGAATCGCGTTTTACAAGCTAAAGTTGTTTTGCCTCGATATTATTGACCAACTAGTTGGATTTTACTAAAACAATAAATAATAAGATAAAGGGCTGTTCAAGTCTACAAATATACTCCAAATAGCAGATGTTGTCCGTCGAGTTGTCTTCTTGCTATGTTTTTAGACAATAGTTCATCGTGAAACGAGTAAAATGTCCCGCCGACTATTCAGCCATTTTTCTTTTCACAACCAACCTCGTCCCCAGGTCTTGGTTAACGGTGCATTAACCTGCAACTGTGCTTTTGACGTCATCGGTTGATTAATTGCAACAGTCTTCCAAATTTGGTCAACAGTAGCTGGTTATGGTGAATTACGCCGCGTGTGCTTTTAGCCAATCAGAAACGGAGAAATATTTTCAATGAATAACAATGAGTGATAAAGGATAAGCGTAAACGCAAATTACCTTTGACAGAAAGTTAATACATGTGACCGTATACCAATGACATCAGTAAAATTTACCTGTTGCCAGTTAAAATGTAAACCATCTGCAATGTATTCGTTATCTTTAAAATCTCGAAAAAATTCACAACCTGAACATTTGGAAAGAGAGACAAGAAAAAATGACATTGCACAGATGATGACAGTATAGGGTTACTGACAAACTCAAACTTACATAAAACAAACATTCTCAAAACAGACACTCACATTTCTAAGGTTGGTGCTCGAGATCATTTTTTGCCTTGCAACAAATGACCCACTGCGAAACAGAGGCAAGTGCGGAGAAAAGGGGTAAAGGTAAGAGAGAAGAGCTTTACAAAATGTATGTATTGAATATGTTTGATAGATACTTAAAAAGAGTATCAACAACTGCATTATTGACAACAATATTATTACCTGGATAGGGAACTGAACATAAAACAAAATCTGAGTATCGCTGAATTTTATCCACTTTCTCTGAGGATGTCACCCTGAAAATTTTCACAAGTTAATGCTGGTCATTTTGCCGTGATGCATTTATGAAAAGTATTTTACTTTTATGTTCAATACAATATTATGTAATAACAAGTACGATTATACTCATATGAGTTGGCATAATTATCTTTATTATATATATACTGAGAAATACTCACCAAAAAGTTGTGTTGTAAATTTTGATACGCAAATGAGTTCTAACCAATCAGAGGAGTGAACTATGGTTTTCACACGTGAAAAAAATGATACGTCCAATCAGAATCGCGAACGATGTTTTTTCACGTGTGAGAAAAACGACACGTCCAATCAGAAGCCACAGAGGTGTGTGAGTTTCGCGCCAAAATTCCCGCATTTCCTTGCAGCTTGCTAAGCGCCGCTTCGCACACATTCGAGGAGAAAAGTTTTTCTCAAAGAATTTTTTCTCGTTAAAAAAGTGAAAAACATTTCAGAAATGGGGTGGAATAGTTTCGTTTGTTTCACTGTCGATAAAGAAAACTGTGGAGAGCCGGCGACACGACAGCGGAAGGGGAAAAACAGAACAAGACGTAAGCTTATGTTGTGCTTTTTGTCGGAGCTACTTTGTCTTCCATTTATAAGCTTAAGCTTATATTGAAACCGGCCATTTCACTTAAATTCACTCATTTTCAATTATACATTCAGAACAAACAGTTAAGATTACTTGTAGTTCTTGGATTACCTCATATCCTTACCGTCATTTATGTTTTTAAGAAACGTTTCTACTCAAAAGTTGATTCTTCGTTTTCACTGTTATTTCGTGGTGTGTAGCGGCAAATTTAAGCATTTTGGAAAGATTTAAAATAAAAAGGCCACCAAAATGAAGAATTTCTCAGTATGTATACAATAAACACAACACCACATGTAAAGTGCTTCGTACGGTATTTACCCACTCGTTGTTCTTGCATCAGAAATCTCACTCATTCGCTGCGCTCACTCGTTCGATTTCTGATACAAAAACAACTCGTGTGTAAATACCGTACGTCAGCACTTTCCATGAAGTATTCTCTATTAACTTTACAGTGTATATCCTACTACGTTTAGATTGGACTAAAGAGCAAACAAGATTATTTCATTCTCATCCCCAACTGATGAGCTTGCAAACAGACGCCTTAAAAAGATAACAATGGGGTTGACCTAAATAATCGTAACACACAATGTTTGTGAAGTTGTTCAGTGACCATTAGAAACAGGGCCATTATATACAGGTTTGATGGTATTTCTTTCCAGATCATAACATAATCAAGCTAACCTCATTCCAAACTTGACCTTCTTTTTTTCGACCATCAAGTCACAGATGTACTTCACTCTGAGTGTCTTGAGAAGCCGGATGTCCTGACCTCGGATGCGGTCAAACAAATCATAGTCCCCACTAAAAGAACAATAGTTTTCTATGGTCAGGAAAAACCAGTTTGAACTTGCCAAGTTGATAACCTTTACATAGTTTAAATAATGCCACTAAATGTAATAACCTGAGTCATTACAGCACCAGAAGACTCATGCAAGAAAAAAGCCTTCATATTAACTAGTATTCTATTGCAATCCTGAAATCCCACATTCTGATTGGCTGACACATTCACTAACCGTCAGCTCATAGATAGGGCTTGATTCCGCACTTCACCTTAGTGGGCTGCCAACTGTTTTATTTGCATCAAAGGGTTGATTGGTGCCCTTGTGAGATCCTACCTTATGCATGCAAGAGATTCACTACAGGCTTTCTTATTTTGGCGTCTTCAATGTTCTAGTGTGAGGTGAACTCAAAATTTGACAATGCTGATACTAATTCTCAACATTATTGTTAAGTACAAGGTATCAACATATAGTCCTTTGACTTAAATTTGCAATACCACACCAGAAGGGTTTTAATACTAAACCAATAGAATCCAGGCACACTCAAGATTTCTATCATCTTCTGAATGCAGATAATGGGCTTTCGCCTCTTCTTATCACCAGCTAATGGGAATCTTGAGACACATGCTATTGTTGCCTCAGGTCGTCTTTGTAGCACTGAGATCCTCAGTGTTACAAAAGTTTAATTTGATAATTTTGTTTTAGAATAATCCTGTTAATTAATTAACTATAACAGGTTTATTCTAAAACAAAATTAAGATTATATATCATTAGTATGTGTAATCAAATGGTATACGCGTGAAATTATTCCCTAATTTCACAAGTATACCATTTGATTACCTATTAATATCATGGGTGACGAATTACGTTAGCAATCTTGGATTTTTGACATGTTTATCCCGGATCGTGTCGATCGAGAACTCCACTCTCTCAAATGCTTAGACCTTAAATTTGGCTGATAAAGTTCAGACTTTTTCAGACGTTTACGGCAAAATACCTGTTAGAATCCTTCTTGATGTTCTCTTGTGTGTTCAGGTTTTCTAAAGCGTATTTTGTGCCCTGACATCTTCATTCACGGCATTTTAAAACTTCGTCGCCATCTTGACACTGAGACGTACGGAAGGGTTGCCATGGCCATTTTGTAATTTCACATGTGGAATTACAAATTAACGCTGAAATTTCGCGCCAAAATTAACGAGTAATTCGTCACCTATCATATATATATAGCAGCTGCTTGCAAATTCAAGGGGATAAGATTTGCTCCCCTTTTAATTATATATTTACTTAATGCTCTTTTAAGACCTCAGAATGGTGAAAAAAATAGGAACAATAATAGTTTTTTTGCCATTCTAAAGTGATGTAATTTAATTATTGTGACAACTCAGCTCGATTACTTTTTGCTATTCTGAGTAGTTTTTTGCCTGATCTAATATAATTTATTTCGTTTATGGTAAAAGTTAAGTTGGCAAATAAAATGGTTGGTTGTTGTTGTGTATAGCTATTCTTACTATTAGTACTGCTACATTCTATTGAATAAAAATGTCCCACAGTCATGCATGTGCAAATGGCAAGTGCATTGCATGTGAAATGAAGAACAACAAAATTGTACAAAAGATGTCATCTTTTCGTCTTCCTCCTTTAATGAAAGCTAAAAATAAGATATGATGCAGGATATCTTCAGGTGTCTACACAGTTTGTACCACAGTGTAACCTTAAAAGATCATATAAAAAAACTGGTGAGACCACTCAGTTGAATTTATGTCAGGAAAAGGTGCTCTTACTGACAAAACAATTAAAGGATTATGAGCAGTGTTGAAACGCAGTTTTCAAGCTATGCATGGATGCCAGTAGTAATGCTTCAGCAAAGATAAGCCTCGTTGGTGGATTCCCTTTGGATTCCCTCGCAAAAAGTGGATTCCCTTTATTAACAGGCATATGGGTCTAGTCTATGACGTCACCCATTGTTATAACCTAGAGAAAAAGTGGATTCCCTTTATTAATATGTATAAGTGTCTTCCTCCATACTAATTAAGTGCCTAGTCAGTGTCTTCCTGCATACTAATTCGGGATAGGTTTACTAATGAGCGTCACTCTACTTCAATAGGAACAATAGGCTTGCCTAGACTTGCCCGGTTTTCAGACCGTCTATTAAAAGAAAATAGGAATAAGAGAAGCGATCACCTAGCAACGCGAGAAACGGCTTCCTATATCTTATTTAGCGCTAAAACTCAGATATACATAAACAAAACACATACAGAAAGTGGAGTTGAAAAGTCTTTATTTCAATTTAGTTTACGTCTTCTTATTTGGCGCTAAAACTCAGATATATATAAACAAAACATACACAAATTGGAACTGAAAACTCTCTAAGTTTGTCTGACGTTTTCTCCTTTCTATCTCGAGGAAATGAAAGTCTAGTCATTTTCACGGACGGTTAATCAGTTAATTATGCAAGTTCACAAGCCCAAAGTTGAATACAAATTAGCTCTACAGGAAAGACCCAAGAGAGAGAATCTTGACGTATTATTATAAAACAAATAACTCAACACGGATTAATTAAAACACGTGACTAATAATTGCTAGCAATACAATCTGACACGAGATACCGTTTAAAACAAAAAGAGTCAAATACACAGCGATTTGAAAGAAATCTATTAAAACAGTCAAAGAAAGCAAGTCATGTTTTACTTACCCCTCTCCCTTTTCAATTTTATTTCCCTCCTCAATTTTTTCTTTTCCCCTTCTCCACAATTTTATTATTTTCCCTCCTCAATGTTTTCATTCCCTCTTCCACAATTTTTATTATTTTCCCTCCTCAATGTTTTCATTCCCTCTTCCACAATTTTTATTATTTTCCCTCCTCAATGTTTTTTATTCCCCTCCTTCACCTCCACCTCCTCATTTATTCTATATATTTTTCCATCCACAAATACATCGACCTCCTAGCGACCCTACATCGACCCCACATCGACCCCACATCTACCCTACACTCAACTTTTTTTTAACACTGCTTCGTAAATAGTGAAGCTATATACCACCACCGCCACATTTCTATTGTTTTCCCACCACCACCACCACCGCCACCACATTTCAATTGTTTTCCCACCACCACCACCACATTTCTATCGTTTTCCCTCCACCACCACCACCACCGCCACCACATTTCTATTGTTTTTCTTTCCACCACCACCACCACCACATTTGAATTGTTTTCCCTCCACCACCGCCACCACATTTCTATTGTTTTTCTTTCCACCACCACCACATTTCAATTGTTTTCCCTCCACCACCACCACCACCGCCACCACATTTCTATTGTTTTCCCTCCACCACCACCACCACCGCCACATTTCTATTGTTTTCTTTCCACCACCACCACCACCACATTTCTATTGTTTTCCTTCTACCACCACCACCACCACCACCACATTTCTATTGTTTTTGAATTCCACCACCACCGCCACCACATTTCAATTGTTTTCCCACCACCACCACCACCACATTTCTATTGTTTTCCCTCCACCACCACCACCACCACCGCCACCGCCACCACATTTCTATTGTTTTTCTTTCCACCACCACCACCACATTATTATTGTTTTCCCTCCTCCTCCTCCAACTCCTCCACATTTCTATTGTTTTCCCTCGAAAGGCCAAAGAGGCCAAAATCAGGCCTAAAAGGCCTAAAGTCCAAACTTGGAGGAAAAACAATAGAAATGTGGAGGAGTTGGAGGAGGAGGAGGAAGAGGAGGAGGAGGGAAAACAATAATAATGTGGTGGCGGTGGTGGTGGTGGTGGAGGGAAAACAATAGAAACGTGGTGGCGGTGGCGCTGGTGGTGGTGGAGGAAAAACAATAATAATGTGGTGGCAGTGGAGGGAAAACAATAGAAATGTGGTGGTGGTGGTGGTGGAGGAAAAACAATAGAAATGTGGTGGCAGTGGTGGTGGTGGTGGTGGTGGTGGAGGGAAAACAATTCAAATGTGGTGGTGGTGGTGGTAGAAAGAAAAACAATAGAAATGTGGTGGCGGTGGTGGAGGGAAAACAATTGAAATGTGGTGGCGGTGGTGGTGGTGGTGGGAAAACAATAGAAATGTGTCGGTGGTGGTATATAGCTTCACTATTTACGAAGCAGTGTTAAAAAAAAGTTGAGTGTAGGGTCGATGTGGGATCGATGTAGGGTCGATGTGGGGTCGATGTAGGGTCGCTAGGAGGTCGATGTATTTGTGGATGGAAAAATATATAGAATAAATGAGGAGGTGGAGGTGAAGGAGGGGAATAAAAAACATTGAGGAGGGAAAATAATAAAAATTGTGGAGGAGGGAATAAAAACATTGAGGAGGGAAAATAAAATTGTGAAGAAGGGAAAAGAAAAAATTGAGGAGGGAAATAAAATTGAAAAGGGAGAGGGGTAAGTAAAACATGACTTGCTTTCTTTGACTGTTTTAATAGATTTCTTTCAAATCGCTGTCTATTTGACTCTTTTTGTTTTAAACGGTATCTCGTGTCAGATTTTATTGCTAGCAATTATTAGTCACGTGTTTTAATTAATCCTTGTTAAGTTATTTGTTTTATAATAATACGTCAAGATCCTCTCTCTTGGGTCTTTCCTGTACAGCTAATTTGTATTCAACTTTGGGCTTGTGAACTTGCATAATTAACTGATTAACCGTCCGTGAAAATGACAAGACTTTCATTTCCTCGAGATAGAAAGGAGAAAACGTCAGACAAACTTAGAGAGTTTTCAGCTCCAATTTGTGTATGTTTTGTTTATATATATCTGAGTTTTAGCGCCAAATAAGAAGACGTAAACTAAATTGAAATAAAGACTTTTCAACTCCACTTTCTGTATGTGTTTTGTTTATGTATATCTGAGTTTTAGCGATAAATAAGATATAGGAAGCCGTTTCTCGCGTTGCTAGGTGATCGCTTCTCTTATTCCTATTTTTCTTTTAATAGACGGTCCGAAAACCGGGCAAGTCTAGGCAAGCCTATTGTTCCTATTGAAGTAGAGTGACGCTCATTAGTAAACCTATCCCGAATTAGTATGCAGGAAGACACTGACTAGGCACTTAATTAGTATGGAGGAAGACACTTATACATATTAATAAAGGAAATCCACTTTTTCTCTAGGTTATAACAATGGGTGACGTCATAGACTAGACCCATATGCCTGTTAATAAAGGGAATCCACTTTTTGCGAGGGAATCCACCAACGAGGCTTATCTTTGCTGAAGCATTACTACTGATGCCAAACCAAGAAAAGGGGGCCTAGCATAGCTTCATATGAAGTATGTTCAGATCAGTACCACAGGTAGCAATTTTGAACAACTTCTAACAGGCACTGCTTTCTTTCCCATGTTCTAATTCGTTTTTTATCATCGTTTTTGTCCACTTTTGAGCTATTTTGAAAAGATAACACACGTGTCAGTGGTCTGAGCATATTTATCTTTGTGGCTTTGTGTGTTCGGGTGTGTGTTGCAGGGGCCAATAAGGTTGGAGGTACTATGAGTTGTTGCTAGAAACCAGTAAGATTTTGGCATCTAAACATGACATTGCTGCACTAAAGTCAAACAAGGGCACTTTGAGACCGCCACTTCGGTTCTTCACAATTTTGTCGTCTTTTATTACGGCTAAAGGCGTTTAGAAGCATAACATTTAAATATCTTCATGATTCAAACGCTGAGTACAGTGATGCAGCTATTTAAGGGTTCATATTTTAGTGTGGCTGTTGGTTGAAGACATTTACGACCTAATTCTGCTATCGCAAACGGCACAACGTGCGTGAATTATGCTTCACTTGCTTCAAAGTATAAAAAATCAGATTTTTCAAAGGTCCACAAATAAATGAAACGTTCATAATTGGTACTTACAATGTACATATTGACTTTAACTTGGAAGTAATATATCAAGCATGAGACGCCGCGTTTCATCACCAGATGAAACACCGAGAAGAGAGTTGAAAACAATCACATTGCTGAGCACCATTTAAAGACGAAACATCAAATTGACTGGGACTCTGTGACATGTATAACGTATTCTACAGACTGCTATCAACGTCTTACTTTAGAAAGCTGGTTTACTAACTTAGAACAAACGCCACTGAATCGACTTATTGACAAGATCAAGCAAAACTAACTACGAGAGAATGACAATTTGACTAACAAGAGACGACTGTTTAACTGTGACAATAGACGGATCGAAACGCACCAATTACTGATTACGAGTCTTCATAGCCAATAACATCACGGCTTAACTGACAGACGACCAATAACATCACGACGTAATTGACCAATCAAATCAATAACCAGAGTATAATACCATCAACTGACGTGATACAACTCACTTTGACTCTGAAGATGACTACCGCACAGGTTGTCGAAACGTCAGTCACTGTCAACAACAACAGTCCTATTCAGGACTACGTTCACCCGGACGATCAAACTCAACCTACTTTTGAAATGACTCCTGGGTTCAAACCTTTCACATGAAGAATTAAGTCGTCAGAGTTAAAGACTGTTTCATTGAGTACAATCGCATGTGAAAACCTCGTGCATTATGATGATAGAATTATCTACCACAATGATAAAAATCCTGATATTTCGTAACTACCGTATTTACTTGGCTATATTAAAGCCGAGCGACTTTTACTTATAGCCAAGAGTTTTTGACAAAAACATTACATTTTTTCAGTACAGTGAAACTCTACTAAATGGGGATGTATTCACTTATAAGCCGAGGATTCGGTATTCGATGAGCCACATTTTCTTAAGAAACTCTGAAGAAACCTTCGAGTTTTCCTTCTAATCAACGTTTGGTGAGTTGATATCAATTGTGCTTTGACAATTTGTTTAACTTCCTGGTGCTAGCTTTATTGAAGAAGAGATAGAAAAATTGAACGTAGCTCAACTAAAGTTTTGGTTAAAATGCCGCCGTATAAATCAGAATGGTAATGAAAAGGAACTGTTGGAAATGTAGGCGTACATTATCTGGCCTCGCGCGATCGATCAGCTGTATAAACTTTTTATTTTTAACTACAAGTTAACATAGCGGTTTAGACACATGGTTTCATACGAAATTTTTTTCCTCAGGCTCATGAACCTACAAGCAATGGAAATCTAAAACTATATGACCCTGACCAAGAGAGGAGCTTTAAACACTAAAGCAAAGTTAGCGAGAAAGATTGAAGAACTAAGGGAAAATGAGGAAACATTCAGCAAACCACTTCAAGAACTTTCCCACCGTTGATTGAGCATTTGGTGATTTTACCGTCCTTCCCACGTTCATTCCGAATCATACATTAGATGACCTAAAGAACTGTGGAAAGAACACCAGGAAATCTTCTAATGCCGCAAATCTGATTGTTTGTGGTAAGTTAAAACTATACCTACATAGGCCATCTCTGAACCTGGGGTAAGGTATTTATCATATTTCCTATAGGAGGCCCAGCAAAGCGCTCTAAGGTAAATTACATCATCCTCGAAATTCGGACACGCACACACTTGGAGGTCGTGTACAAATGAGGAGCATTCTGAGCCCTTTAGAACTTGCAAACTCAGCAACGGCATCAGCAAGATTTCCTGGTGTTCCTTCCACAGTTCTTTAGGTGTTCTAATGTATCAGTCGGAACAAACGTGGAAAGGACAGTATAAAATCATTACCAAATGCTGAATCAATGGTGGGAAAGTTCTTGAAGTGGTTTGCTGTATCACTTGCGGTTTTTACATTTTCCCTCAGTTCTTCAATCTGTCTAGCTAACTTTGCTCTCAGATTTTCATTTGGTGCAGGTTCATGACCCTGAGAAAGCAAATTTTGTATGAAAACATGTGTCTAAACCGCTATGTAAATTTTGTAGTTGAAAATAAATAGCATGAACATGTGGGTGTTGTTCAGTGCCTTTTCCAGTCTTTTGTTCGATGGCTCGAAGCAGGATGATCCAACAGTTCCTTTTCATTACTAGCGCCAGGAATGTTCTCTGGAGCAAGATCAACTTGATCGTCCGCCATGTTAGTTATTTTATATTTGCCGCGAGGGGTATTAAGCCTCACTTCCAAGCAACTTCCGGTTTTTTTCTGGAATAGGAGTATTTGACATTTGCGCATGTATTTACACCATAGGAAATTTTTCTTCTGGGAAGTCTCTCTTAGAAGAGATCTCTCCCATCTGTTTATTTTCCTCCCAGCAAAATCAACATTTTTGGGAACTGTGCTCCTTTTTCTTGGAAATCTGAATATACATCCTCTTTTTCATTCCATTGGATTTGAGAAACAGGCCTTTTATACTTGAAAAAATAATCATGTAATGCATCCGTCAATTCCAGCTGAGCTGAGCCCAGCCCAGCCCCCCCCCCCCCCCCCCCCCCCCGGCTACTGCGGGGCATTTGCCTGCTTTGTCAGTCCCAGGGGTGGGGCATTTGCAAATTTTGCGCTGCCCGGGGGCCGGGCATTTGCAAACCGCGGGGCCAACCCCGAGCTTTTGACACGCACGCGGTTTCCTATCAGAATATAACTACACAGAGGATTTTACTGGAAAAGCAAGCAGATTGGCTCATTTGTCAAGGAAAGAAAAAAATTGTAGAGGTTTGTAAAGGCATGTTCTCCACGTTATGCATGCATTTCTTCATTGCTTATCAAGCCAGAATTACATAGCGAAATCAGGAGCTATCGACGTGAATCAACGTTTTTTTGGTTATTGAATCAAATTTCTGTTGATATCTATATTTGAAGAACATCCTTTCATATTTATAAAACTGTTCATAATAGTTAGCTTTACAGCGCACTATTAATTTTAATTTCAATAATTTTATAACAATACTAAAACCATAAATTGGCGTAGTAACGGCGTGGCCGCAGCTGGAATTGACTGACACATAAAACCTAAAGGGTTTGAGCTGGCTGAATAATGTTGTGATCACCCAAACAAACCAACCCAAAACACTTAAACCCTTAATTCATTGCTTGTGTCAGATGCTGATGACAGTCCTAAAATGAGTTGTCTTACTATTAGAGGTTAAAGTTATGAAACAAAATTGCACTTGTACCTAGAATATAAAGAGCCTGCACTATTATTTACTCCATTTATATCCTCCAGCGGGTCATCAGGAATGCTTTCTCCCCCTAAAGGTCAAAAGGATTTCAATCAATTTACTCACATGATACTCTATGCAGATATAAAACTTGATAATTTTTTAAGTAGGCTATATATTCAGTCCTTGGTCTGTATCTAAAGAAGCAGTTACTGTACTTAAACCAGATACAGTGTTAATTTTAGACTATATTTTGAACAATTTGTGCAGTTTTAATAAATATTGTTACCGACTGACACACAAGAAGAGTTATTTCAGTGTGGGGTTCATATGGTCACTATGTTTTGCTAAGCTTGAGGCATACACCTTGAAACTACATCCTTGGGATGAATTCCACCTAAAAAAATTAAGCACCTCAGATGTTAGACTGTTGAGCATCCACTAAGAGACCACCCAAGGTTTGAAGATGTAGACAGTAGTAGTTCCTTATTGGGGGTGGTCACTTCCATTTGTGGGAGAGTTTGATTCTTGCCTGGAGCTCATCATTTTTCTATATGTATGTTTTCAGGTCATCAATTCTCTTTCTTTGTTAATTATGAGACCATTAAAAAGACAACGGACAAGTTTTTAATATGCTTATTTGCCAACAATGAATTATATTTTTTTGCCCTGAAAATCAGTTGAACAGTTTCCATATTCAATTATTGCACCGCTCAAAGATTTTGATTGATGATCAATTATAATATATTATCCTCACACCTCCAACCAGTAGTTTTTCACATTCTGAAAGCTTACTTTAGAAACTTGGCACATAGAAAGTCAAGGAAATGGACTGCTTCATATGGCATCTGTTCAATGATAATTCATTACATGATGTACCTAGTATATGAACATCTGCAAAGAGGTGCAGAAGAATACAGACCTTCAAGGAGGTGAAACAAAAAAGGGCTGACCTCTAAGATTATTGATAATTTTCATAGCATTTCTTACCCGCAAAGAGAAAGTCATATCCAGATCTACCATAAATTTCGGCTCCTCCTGACAATGTGGCAGATCTGCAAATATTCTACAAATCAAGAACAGAAAGTTAATTTTTGTGTTTATTTTTTTTTTCAGGTTTTTAACAAAAAGTATTCCTTTTTTGATTCACTAATCTACAGGGTGTTGATTAGGCATCGGAGATCAGAGAGTTCTCTATTTAAAAATATGCAGGATTCTCCAGCTAATATCTGGTAGCCTATGACTATTTTTTATTCAGACATGGAGCATCTTTCAAAATATTCTTGAGTAACATTGCACCTTTATCCCCGTTACTAGAATTCTTACTGAAAACTCTTAATCTAGAGTCACTGGGAAATTTATAGCTGATTACACAGAGTTTGAACCAGGTTTAGTCACTTCCCTACCACATGGTGAGTGGGTGGGGTGAATGAATCATTTAATCATGAAATCATCATTTACACACACCCAATAATTCATTATCTGAGATGTTTCTATTTCACACTAAATGTTGCTTGAATATAATAGCTCACCCAGAAACATATTTTTGTCAAAAGCATCATGGGAAGGAAGCAAAATCATATTAACTGAGGAAGCACACGGTGATTTTGTTACACTTGCTTCCTACATATTCCCCAAGGATGCAAAATAATTCATGATATATACATGTATCATGCAGGACGCAAAGATCATCTGGTCAACATTAAGATGCTTCAGTCTGATTACTAAAATCTACCATAACAGGGTCCGAAATTGCGCCTTCCTGGTCACCAATGCGACTAAAAATTTAGTCCTGGCAACCAGAATTTCATAGCTGGTCGCCAGCTAGCGACTTGTAAAGCTGGTTGTTATCGTGGACTTAAACGTTCAGAGAAACTGATTAAGAATTGAAACCTCGAAGCTATTTGCCAACAGGTGTCTTATTTTTTGCCCTGCTGATATTTTTTAATTAAAAGTGAAACGAATACTCCTGTAATAATACCTCTACAACAGCTACGATCAATACAAGTTGAACGTTTCCAAGCCGCCATGTTGTTTTCAGCTGAAATATGGTAAGTACGTTATGTACTTTGTGGACTGGTACAGTAATGTGGCACAATTGTGGCCTGGTACAAGCGACATGGTGGCTATGTTTCGTGGTAGTTATCGGAAGAAAATAGAGTTTTGGTATGATCAGTGCAGTCATGGGTAGACAGCTTTCTGTTCCTACGTTCTAGGTCAGGTAGCTTTACACGTATATGTCCAAAAAGTAATTTGTGGAAAAAATAAGACTTCACTCGTACAGGTACGGTTGCTGTCTGGTATCGGAAGTGGAAGTAGTGCAATTTTTGAGCACAAAAACATCCACACCATGCATTTTGAATTTGTGTTCAAACTTTTATTTGAAAAAAAGGGAGGGGGAATTTTTGGCGACCACAATTTCCCCTCTGGCGACCAAAAATTTATACTTGATTGTCATTTGGCGCTCATATTAAAAAGTTAATTTCGGACCCTACATAAGATGTAGGATTAATATCATCTGGCTATAAAATACGTCCAGAAGTCACTTCTGAGCAAATAAATAGGAGCATTTCCAAACAAATATTCAATATGCTGTCATTTTATTACCCTGGAGTGATTGCAACCAATAGGTTTTCTATATTTGGGAAGCAAATGGGTAAACCAAGCCAAGATGGCATACAGTAACCTAACAACAAACCTACTGAAAATGTTGGAACTGTTTCTGGGAATGACAGTGTTCATTGCGTTCAACAAAGGAGAATGCTTACTATTCATGTACCGCACACGAAGTAGTAACCGTTCTGTATGTCATGCGATTTCACGGTTTGGACGTCATCTTGGAGAGGCCTGTCACACTGCCTCGATCTCATGTGTTTAGTTTTTCTCGCCCAGGAGCTGGTATCTATTTTGTGACACTCGTTCACAGATGAAACGTTCGCTATTTTCTGTTTACCACAGGTTTGTTTACAGTTTTTCTTGCAGTTTTCAATTAAGTTTTTTTATCATAAGAAAATTTCCATTCTAAGGGCCTGTTTACATGGAGTGGGGAATCCCGGTCTAGTGGGGTTCATTTCTTTTGTTTTCACGCTCTGGGGAACACAAAAACAAAAGAAACCTTCCCCACTAAACCGGGGTCCCCCACTCCATGTAAACAGGGTCTAAGATAATCAGATATGTAGATATTATGTTAACAATGTGTTTTGCACATTGTATTTGTTATTATGGATTCAAGCAAGATCAGCTTAGATCGACCATACTTGATTCTATTACAAATTACATCTTTTCGCTTTTAAAAGATGTTTACAGCATTGTATTTGCTTTTGTTTCTCGCCATTTTTGAAAAATATACAAGAAGTTGAACAGTGAAACATTGGCCTTTTCATCTCAATAATTCCGTGTGCGTTGCATTTTGAAAACAGTGCTAAGTAGGTGAGTCGTGTTAGCCTAGTGTCAACAACAAGGGTTTAAAGTGATAAGCGACGCTCAAACTTTTCAGATAACTTTAATTTTCTGTATCCCAATTTTTAGCCAATTTTATTGATCATCCTATAGTGCAAAAGAACATCTGGAGGATCATAGTCAGTGTTTGACCTGTTGTTACTTGCATGTACTTTACTTAGAGGTTTAGCCAAGTAAATGTAAAAAGTACCAGTACGCTCTTGCATTTTTGAGGAAAAATGAAATAGTAACGAATTGTAAAGTGGGAGGACAAACAATAACACTGATAAAGACAGCTGCTGATATTCATATTTCTAAAAGTGTTTGATTTTGATTTCTCTATAGTACAAGCCCATCAGGTTTTGCACCCTTTTCCCAATACCACGCACTACCCACCACCCTCCCCCTACCCATCAAACACACTTCCCTAATTTGCAAAATTTTGATTACTGGTACTAACTCTGGGTGGGGATGTGCTGCTGGGACCCTGGAACCCTTAACCTATACCAGAGCTACAACCCCGGACAAAACCTGTTGAGACAAATCGCGAAAATGCCTATTTTTTCCTGTCATCCCGGCAAAAACTGAAACCGCCGCCAAATGAATGCCCGATTTCCCCCCTCCCCTTATCCAAAGTTGTTTAGGATAGCATGGCAATTATACACGTTGGTTTTTAGACCAAGGCAACTTTGAATAGGGGGTGGGGAGGGGGTTTACTTTTTGTGTTTAGGGGAGACGGGAGTAGGGCGCAAAAGTTAGAAAATAGATGGAATTGTCTCAACAGTTTTGTCCAGGGTTGTAGTTCAGCTGAATTTTGCTACCCTATACTAGAGTAAACTACCCAAATCCCCCCTATCCTAGGGTAGCTGTTTTCCAGAAACTACTGTGGTCACTAGCACAGTCTAGCCAAAACAAAACCTTATAGCACAATCCCTAGTCTAGATAAAATCTTCAACCAACTGATCAGTTTCCTGAAAAATGATACCCTATTCTAGACCCAAACGCTCTGATTTATACACCCTATCCTAGAGTAAACTGCTTGAAAACCATACCCTTCACAGTGGCACATACCTATATAGCCCATATATGGCAGTACTCCCCCCCCGCCCCAGATTACAGCCCTATTAAATGAGGAAGCTGTTTTCAGTAGCAGTGGAAAAGAAAAACAAAGACTGCTGGATTAATGATTCACCATGAGATTCATCTCAGGACTCACCAAAGCAAATTTGTAACAAAATTAATGGGCACATTGAAGAACTCTCTACAAGCCAACCACATAGTGAAAATTGGAATTAAACAGAAGGACAGCGACAACTCTTTCAAAATAAGGGTAGCAGTACAAACGGTTTTAAGAGCAACACATCAACTTATTCTAACAATGTGACGGCACGTAACAAGGAAGAGTGAATTTTTACCTTTCCTTCAAAGAGAATGACAGGTACTACAAATCTTGACCTACAGCGGGCAAATCTAGCCTTCACAAAAAGATCTTTAAGTTTCTTGGCATCATTTGCTTTTGGACTGTAAAAGTGATAAAAGGCAACAAATATTAATTAGCATGTAACAAACCGCTAATGCCACAATTAAATCATTCTTTATTTAGCTGCTCAAGAAAAGAAGGGGTGAGTTTTGAAAAAGTAAAGAAAGCCCTTCATGGGAAGAAATGCACAGGGGAGCTTTGCTCTGTGGTTGAGTCTTGGCTCCTTATTCCTCAGTTTTGAGGGGGTTTGTGAGAGTAGGTCCACACTAAATCCACCTCTTTTATATTAAAAAAATTCATCATTGCAGTGTGCTGGGATATGACAAAGTGATTGCTTTCAAATACATGTACAATTTTAAACTGGTCATAACCAGAAAGTATTCTTTCAACACAGCAGTTATCAAGTTTATTACAACTTAAAAAATACAGTCATTCATAAAACCTGCAGAATTCATTTCTAACTGGTTGGTTGGTTGGTTGGTTGAGTGGTGTAAACTTTCATTGTATGCAAATGGCCTCGTAATAAGGAGGCAGTTTATCTCGAGCGGTGACTTCAATACAGCACCATTTTGGTCACTTTTTGCCCTGTCACGCGAATGTCACAAGAATTTTCTAATTAAAACCTGTTAGTCCAGAAAAACCTTGTCAAACTTTAATGTATTACGCATTTGAAAATGACAAATTATTTGAAAACAGTAGACCATACAAAGATATCCAAAATGATCATATCTGAATTTTCCAGCTACATCTTCTATTTGTTTCTCTTTTGGCTTGAGCTGTTGAGCTGTTCGGCAGCTGTCGAGCTTCCCTGTGACACTGCCACATCACCAACATCAACTTTGCTACTTGGAGTTACATTCAAGTAGCAAGAGTGATGTAAGTAGTAAGTAGTACGTAATTGTAGTATGTTGCCATGGCGACTCCAATTGCAATAAAACCCAGATCATAAGAACTTTTCATCTTCATATATATGATACAGCTATGGTAACCTTTTTTCCATATCTTTACTCATGCCTACATAGTTAATGCTCAAACTTGAGAGGCATCCCCCCCAAAAAACCAGTCGAGTCACCTTAAGGCATTAGTTACAAAACAAAACAGGTCTTCATACGTTCAAGTTACTATTATTACTGGGAAAAACCAATCTACATGATCTACAGTCAAACAGCTGGCACATAAAAGTGTTGGACTTTGCTCCCTTTCATGGTTGGTACGTGAGGGAATTCGAGAACTTGTAAACAGGATCATAAAAATAGCTCACACACACAATTTGCACATGAAGATGTTGGACTTTGCCCCTCTTAAAATTTGTACATGAAAGAATGCATGTTGTCTACAAGATTACTTTACTCAAGTGATTAAATCACCTCCTTTTCTAACACCTGCAATAAAATTATACATCATTCAATGTTAAGATTGATACTTTAACATCATTACTTCACTTCCATCAGAATTGTCAAACTGCCGAAATACTGATTTCTACTGATTCCATGTTATTGACCTAGCCTGAATTTCATTTGATTGCTTTGAGTCATTTTCTCCTCTCAGCAACATCTGAATTGACCGGCCGTTAATGCCAGAGCCGTAGCCAGACTTCAGAACAAGAAAAGGCAAGTTTCGAGTGCCGAAGGCACGAGCTGCTAGGGGGGTATGGGGCCATGCCCCCGCCCCAGAAAATTTTGAAATCTAGAGGCTCAGAAATGCTCTTGCAAGCATTTTCCGTGGCATTTTTCTTCAGAAAAGCTGAAATCTTAGGCAAGTGTAGAAGTTCATTTTTTTATTGCTTAGTGATATTGGTGCCATCTGTCAGCTTAAGTGAAAAAAAATTGACACACCTTCTTTGTAATGATTTTCCAAGTTTCAGCTGACAAAGGAATGGGCAAACGGAGGAAAATTGTCGAGTTTTGAACTACAAAACTTTTTCAAATTCATACTTGCGTGATTAGCGCGCAAAAAGCAAAACATCTTGATGCCACAACCATGTTTACATACTCTCACACAAACACTCCTCTCAGCCAATCAGAGAGTGGGTACTATCTTAGTTATTTTATAAATAAACAAGGTAAAAAGTTACATGAAGTTGCATTCTAAAGTGCTAATATATGAACATAATTTGCACTTTTCCCTGGTAAAAGAAGGAGAAACAAATAGCAGAATCAATAACACAAAGCTTTTAATGCATAATGCTAGAAACACAACAACTTAAAAATCTTCAATGTGACATAGAAAATATTTCTTCATCCCTGTCCAGAATGTTTTCTACAAGAACATGTATTTGCAGTTTAATCTCGTATGCATGTTGCTAACTATTGTTGTAACAACTGATACTTGCCTAGTAAAGCAAGTCCTTTCTGTTTTCAAGGCATTGCTGCAAGAAAAATTGAAGGGTGCCCAGTGCTCTGAACTTGTGAAATACAGGGTGTCCAGTATATGATTTGTACAAAAAAAGTATGATTTTCTATTCACCCAAGAGCAAAAGTTAGGTGCCACATGGCGCTGCTAAAGTACAGCTGTGGCATTACGGAGCGGTGCCTGTAGATCCGTGTCGCCCGCAAAATCGCGGGCCCCATGACTATTTGTGTGCTCACAAAGGAAGCCGACGCATGTCGTGTCCTTTGTTCGAGACTCAAGTGTTAGGGGATTGTTTCCACGATACAAAGGTAATTTAACTTAAGAAAATCAATAGATTGAAGCTTTCGTGCTACTCTCTCTTTTATAAGGAAATGCAAATGCTCAACTGGATAAATATTTTGACTTCATAAGATAATTATCTTAACAATTTAGGCCAGCAGAATGTGTAGAATTCCACAAAAACAAATCAGGAAGCCGGATGGTTTTGAACTGCGCTAGACGTTATTTTTATCAGTATGCAAATCACCTACCCAATCACTTACTTTCCATCGAACTGAAATATCCTGACTTTTTTTTTACCACTTTTCGATTTGCTTCGTTTCATTTTATATTATTTTGTGCAAGCTGAGCTCTTTCATCAGAATTTACGCTTTCAAAAGGAAGAAAACTTCGCGGAAACGTTGTGTTTACAACCACGGCAATTTGTATCTATTTCGCTTCACTTATGCTTATATGCAAATTACTGTTCATTTGCCGGATTTCGCTGGAGACAAAAATATCCATTTTGAATTCCCAAATGCTTGCCTTTTGGGGCACCCTTTTTATTTTGGCTATCAAGATTTTAAAAGCTACACTTCAGACTTTTCATTGCAACGTTTTAATGTGGGAAAGTTAGGAGAAATGCTGCAACTGATTAAAGTCACGCAACACACTTTAAGACCGCATAACTTAATCTTTCTGTTATCTTTTATTCTTCTATTGTCTCCAAAACAATAACGATGTTCCACCAATTTCCACCTACAAATAATGGGACACATTTGATTGACAGAAAAATTTGCATTTACTAGCGACGCGTTTCTACAGGCCCGATTCCATAATGTCTTGATTCACAATTTAAGTGTGATTATAAACCGATAATTGAGTATAAAACTCAGCAGTTTACTGCAATTTTATTGTTCTGTCAAACTTAAAAAATTGCATTTGTTTGCAATATTTCACAGCACTTGATACAATACACCATTCTGAAAATGTTTGTCTACATATCCTTAAGAAAACTGCTTAACTAATTTGTAAAGAATGAAAATAACTGTGTTTTCATGGTAATGAAACTGTTACCTGCATTTATTAAAAGTATATTTTCTGATCATGAACAGTGAAAAGTTCATAATTAAGCCTAAAGTAAGAGTATGGTTAATGCATGATAAAAAGACTTGTGACTAGAAAAAATCCATTTATGATTACAAAGGTCTTACAACTGAATTGGTAAAATTAGCTCTCATTTGAAGTTAATAATAATCAACAATCATTGGAACTAGCCAAGCTGACAATTCATGCCTGTTACCAGAAGAGTACCTGACATTTCCCCTCAAGACAACCTACCAGTTACAGTTTGATAAACGCCTTTTTCGTTTTTACAGTAATGCCAATGACTGAAAACAAATAGTCAGGTCTCTTAAGGTCAGGATCGTTACAGAGTTGACAAAAGCACCAAATTTTGCACAGTGATAGCTTATTGCAGTGCCATGAATATTAGAGGGGGTGCCCAATGCAAATATGCCACTGAAGCGTGCTAAACAGGATTTAATTATTGTAAATTTCACCTGCTGGGGTCCCTGTGGTGTTTTGATTGAAAATTGTTATTAATTTAATACCTTAAATCACTCAGAATGCTCTTTTCATGTAGTAAACAACAATTTCCCTCGAACATCTGGCATTCCCATCCATTATTAGCTTATTGATTGTATAATTAAGTTAATTATTAATGTGCCTTAAAAGCAAGTCCACAGTCCACCCACATTTTCATAAGTCATTTCCAAGATGGCCTCGTCTCAGCTTCTGGGGTTCTCTTCTCCTTTTCTAGTGTATTTCAATTAGAGGAGGCTTTATTGTGTGGCTTAAGCGCTAGCCTTATTTATCAAGTATTATTTGTCATTGCATGTCACTTTAAGCTAAAGAAAGCTTATAGCCTAGTGATTCACACACAAAATTTCAGAAAAAGGAAATTGTCAAAGAGTCTGTTGTATCACATATTATCAGGGATTTATGGCAGCTGCTCATGAACACCAAATAACGAAATGACAGAACCCAAAGTAGTTCTTATTAATTTTTCAGCTTAACATAGGCCTGGATGCCTTTCAGTCTCTCTTTATCTGCTGGACGCACGTGCATGTTTTGACAGAGAAGCATGCATCGTGGCACAAGTCATATCATTTACAATTCCCGCAGTTTGTTTAAGCTTTACAAAGAAAAAACAAACAAAAAAGAATCTGGTCTCATAAACGAAAAAAGGAAACAAGTTAGCCCAAGCTTCAAAAAACAGCACGGTTTATCATGAAGCCTCTATATTTGGCACTGAAGCACTAGTGCTCGTGTCCAAAAAACAGCTTCTCAAGTCGTAAAAGTGAGACTCAAGTGGTACAAGATTGACTCAAATGAAAAATGGTGAATGGCTTAACTGCTGAAACTGTAGAAAGGGGGCCGGGCTAACTTTTACGGCCTGTTTACATGGAGGAGGGGGACCCCAGGTAGGCATGGTATCCCACTTAGGTGGGGTAACCCGCCTGTCCATGTAATCTCTCATTTCAATTTGATCACATTCACATGATAGGTGGGGTGACCCTTAAAGGTGGGTAGCCTGGTCTGCCACACCGGGTAACCCTCTCAGCTGAGGTCAAATTTTGCCATGTCAACGTTTCAGGGTGAGGTAACCCAGGCTATTCGGGGTCGGATTCCTGATGCATCAAATTCGCGCAAAATTCACTTTGGCGCAGGGTGACTTCACATATTTATTGAAGGTAACAATAGAAAGCCACAACACTGAAGGTTCCAGCAAGAGCAGCAAGTGAGCGTAGCCAGCATTTTTCTTGTTTACATGCTTAGGGACCATTCAATAATCTTGAGGAAGTGCACCCCAGGATGGCGGGGTTGTAAGATGGCATGTAAAGGAGGGTTATTTTTTACCTCACACCAGCACAAAGATGAACCTAAGCAGGTTACCTCACCTACCTGGGGTCCCCCACCTTTATGTTAACAGGCTTTAAGTCTCAGGAACTGTGGAACTGGTAATAAACAGTATACCTAACCCGGGACTAGCTGTGATACTACTTCCATCTTAAAAAACGTCAGCATAGCAGCCAAAGGAGCCATTACATCGGTGTAACACGAATATAAGATTGCGGTGGTTTCATGCGTCTCATTTTGTGACTTTTTTTGTCTTCGTTTTTTATCACCATCCCTAAATTTCAATCATGTTCAAAACACCCCTACTAACAAAATATTTCGTAAAGCTCTTTAGAATGATATTCAGCAATAAAAACAAGGTGTGACCAGGAGTCGATTTCTAGGCTCCTGGTGTGGCAACATAGGCATAAGTGAATGCAAAGTTTTGCGGTATGTAATCTGTCAAAAATCTGTTTGAGTGGTCAAAGTTTTGGCAGTGATGGGTTTTTTTACCATCACCACTCCATTATTATAAGGGACCACGCCATAATTATTGTTTACCCTTGCTTTTTTTTGGTATTTTCTGTAATTTTCCCCAGCATTATTTGGGGAAAGGTGGTAACTGATTTGCTCTTGAGGAATTCATGACCGTAAGATTTCGTAACCACGCGGTATTCCCCTAATTGCATTAATGAAATAATACGTTCATTTTCATAAATGATGCATCATTGGTTGGCTAAAAGAGGCCTTGTGGTTCCTGTAACTTTCAGCTCTTCTGAAGTTAGTTTGTTTGTAAACTGTAACGAACACAACGACCTTCCTTTTTTTTGGAAGACTGTATAGACCTACCATTAATACTCTGGTGCAAGGGCTCTGAAGTGAATGAGCTCCTTACAGGTGTCTAGGCATGCGGGGACCTCATACACTTCTTTTTAAATGTAAATGTGTAAAAAATAAAGAGTTTTAAAAATTCCTGGAGAAGCCTATTTTACATCCTCGTCCCCAGGGCTTAATAAAAAGGTAGAAAAAGGTAAAGCGACCATATTTTACGTCAATAACTCGAGACGGTAATAATAACTGATAAACCAGGTGGACGGTGCACTCCTTTTACCCCTCTCTCTCCATCAATGCTCGGCCGTTTTAAGGGTATTTAAAGCTAGTCAAAGCTACACAGAAAGCAGAGAAGCTGAAATAAGGATGTGTTGACATCGGGGATCGAACTCGGGACCTCGCACACCGAAGGCTGTGCACTAGCCAACTGTGCCACCCTTTCTCCTCCTTTTCTCCCTGAGGACGAGGTTGACATGTTTTAATGACAGGGTTACCAAGGAATCAAATTATAATCTAGTCTTAGCTGCACAATTACAAAGTGGGCGCGTTGTCAGTTATGGTTCATGAGGTCTTTCATGTGGCACGTCAAAATTTAACGATTCTGCCGTTTAGGATATGATACGTTTGGGTTTTATGTTATTGTATGACATCTTTGAAGGCTGGCTTTGTGATCTGTTTAAATTGATATGTAATGATATTATCACTGGCAAGTCTTAGCGGTGACACTGATAGCAACACAGCGAACATGGCCAAATTTACCGTGTGGAGACTGGGCACTAGTCAGTGTTATGTACATGTAAAACTATTTTGAATAGTGTAACAACAACTAACATCACCAAATTAAAAACTTAAAACTTTGAAACAAATGTTTTTTAGCCAAATCAAACAAGAAGAGTACACACCACAGGGAACCCAATCTGCTATTATAGGTGAAAGTTAACCCCCCCTTTTATCTGTAAATAGGACCATTTGTAACGGGCACCCCCTCCAGTATTAATCGGCAGGTACTAAGGAAGCTCTGTGCCAAATTTGACACTTTTGTCACGTCTGTAACGATCCGGCCTATATTTTGCACTAAGAGACTTGACTAAAAGTAGAGTTTCGAGTAAAACAAAACTCAAACAAAGCAACATTCATTTCAACATTTGACATTTAAAAATTCTAGTGTATATTGATTTCTAAGGCCATGTCCATAAAGTGTCTGAATTCCAATTGCACTACCTGGCCATGTTTTGGTTCGTCAAAAAGAATTTTCTTTAATATTAATGAATCCAGGAGAAAAACAAACTTTACAGATGTTCATATGGTGGGGGCAAGTTTGTGCTCCCACAATACAAACATCTTCAGGTATATGAAAGGGTAGGGATTTCATTAGTTAAAGTATAGTTATATGAAAGGCTAAGGAAATCTGTCATTTTGGTATGTGAAAGGACCAAAAGGTGCTAACAGACACACTTCATGGATTTCAAAGAGCATTTACAGCAGTTAGAAGAGATACAGTGTTCCAAACTGTATGTATGTTAAAGAGGTAGCATTTTTCAATAGAAGGTATGTGAAAGGGGTGCCTTTACTCTCAAAAATGGTATGTAAAAGGTTGGAGGTTGGACCTCAGGGCAGAGCCTCCTGCATAAGACTTTGTTGAGTAACCCCGGCTCTTGAGGATGCATATCTTTGCTCACTTCAGACATTTCACCTTCCAACTTGGCAACTTTACTTATTCACTAGAGCTCTTTACTGCAGTGTCACTTAATATGAGCTCATTGCTCCTTAGTCAAACTTGAAAAAAAAAACACTTCAAAAGGGTCTGGAAAATGATAGATTGTACATACTGCCAGTTTGTACTTAACATGTGGACCTTTGTACATTCAAAAGAAAATTCTTAAATCATCCTTGTTTCAGTTTCAATACCATGCTCCTGTACATGCTAAATAAGCAAATCATGCAAAGAACTCTTTAAAATATATTTCACACAATTCTTACAGAATGAATTTCTTCAAACTGGCCTAAGCAGAATTCTTAACGTTTTGCCTGCCTTTTTCTGGTATTTAGATGAGACAGGTTTACTCGGTAGTGGAGGCCTGCTGTGTTTGATTCTCTTTCAGGTTGGGATGGCTACTAGCAACTCACTTAACCTACTGAGCCTCCAAGTATTATTCACTTAATTAACAATTAAATAAAGATAGTAAAGACTCTATTAGGCCGCCACGTGGGCATAAATTAATTGCACGAAAGCAAAGTAACAATTATAAAAGTGTGAGGTCGAAATACATACAACACTTCAAGTCAATCAGTGTACATGCACAGTGTTTAAGTAACATAGTAAAAAAAGATTGGCTATTTTTAAAGAATGAAATATACTGGAACGGTGGTTATATCTACCTGTCGACATTTTCTAAATCATTGGTCAGTTTCGATTCCAAAATAACCAGTTTGAGAGGGTAATGCCCGCATAGGTCGCCATTGTTGGTAACGGTCTAAAAGAAAACCAAACAAAACAACAATATTAACACGTTAATTATATAAAACAGCCATGAGAAACAAGCCTTCATAGCCGCAAAGTTCCTGCATTAAAGCCGGCCGGAGAAAAGAAACTGAAACGCAAGCAAACTTATAAACTTAAGCTTAAAGTAAACTTATATGCTTCAATAATTTCATTTCTATATGGGACATTCAACTAACCGTGAACTTATAATCTTTGGCAAACAACTGCAAACATTTCTTCTGTATTCCCTCGACCTAGAATGATTTACACAGAGATAAGGCGACCGATTAAAAGTTGTCCGAAGACAACAGTTGTAAAAAATAAGATAGGCAGTAACACATCACAATTGTGATCTATTAACCTCCTACCTTTGGGTTAGTGTCTCGGGCTCTGTAGGGATATTTAGAGAAATATTTTACAAGTTCAAAGAGCTCAGTTCTCGAGACCTCCTCATCGAGACTCATAAGTGCCGACAATCCTAAAGCAAACTAATTACAGAAGAGAAATAAACGTCAATATAGAACCGAAACCGGAACATATTTTCCTTATCTTCCCGTCTCGTGGTGAGCTTGTTTACGTTAGCGGCAATACGCATTTTTTCTTGTGAGAAACCGCTGGCCGTTTCAAGTGACTGCTACGTGCAGATTGAAGTTTATTTCGTATTCAGGAGAGGGCCAGGGGAAAACATAAAAAAAGGGTTGCACAATACGTTTTTTGACCGTATGAAAAGAAACCATTCTTCTTTCAATGTGATGTAGCGAGATATTCTAATTAGAGTCGATTTTTTGGGTATTATTAACCAAGCTGAAAGAAATCGGACAGAATGGGCGTGTACGTGGGAGGGCACATTAAAATGCGATATGGCGAAGCATGTTTCGACACGGTTTTATAACTTTTAGTTGTCCTCAGGAATGCTTTTTACTTTGTAAGCCGAAAGCAGACGTTTCATTTCCTTGTTCTTGAACAGTTGCTGTCTCCTTCACCACTTGATGCGTTGAAAGTTTTGCTACCAGTCAAATGAAGCAATGACGTCGTATTTAAATCAAGTGAGATGAAATTAACTTTCGAAAAAAGAAAAACAGGGCCCAAAGTTGCAAAAACAAAAACCAGAACTAACCATCTATTAACTGATTCATCACCACAGATACTAAAAGAAAGTTAACGTAAAATATATGCATCAATAATACCAAAAAAATAACCTAAAACTCACTTGCAAAAGGCCTGTTACGGCTACAGCTCTGTTGCTCAGTCACATAAGAGTGTGCGTCTCAGATATAGATCCTGCTAAGAAGACTGAGAATTATTATACTATGTGTTCAACCAATCAATCAATAAAAACCTTTATTTATACACGATCATGAAATTATAACCTTAATAGCTACTTGAGTGGTGGTGTATAGGATAAACAAATAACAGCACAAATTCTCGATTAAAATAAGTTAAAACATTACAAAAACTTAAAATACTTTAAAAAATGAACTCTTTCTAACAAAAATGTAAAAAAACGTAAACAGCTCAAGGATGTTTCGGCAATGAAATTAATAAACCGTCTTACTGTACAGGTTACTAAAATCAATATCCTTAATTGCATTCTGCTCATGAATACTCTTAATAAAACTAGCGAGGGATACTCTTTCGCGGCACTCCCATGGTAAATGGTTCCATAGAACTGGATTTGCCCCTTTGTAGACTATTGAAGATTTCATGATATTTGTTTAAAAAGATGGAATAACTATCAGACAGCTTCAAATTGTACGATGGCTGAGACTTTGAGGTATGTATTGACACACAGGAGAGCGAGACATTATGGAACATCTTATAGATGACATAGATGAGCTACGAACATGTTTCTTTTGTGGGATCATGACCAGGTTTTTGTATACGCTCTGGAATCTGAAGGATTGATCTTGATATTGACGCCGTTTGTTGAGTACTTCAACCTAACAAGTTGAAGGAGGAAAGCCGAGTAGCAGTCGCGCGCAGTGGTCAAAGATTTCCGAAAGTCACAAAAGTCTCGCTACAGTTACCGGCAGTCACTTTATTTGCACAATTCTTTATCGTTGACAAATCCGGCCGGTAATTACCTTGACAGTATTCCTATAGGATATATATTTTACATCCATCAACCCGAATAATTAAATTAATTACAAGAATTCAGATCAGAATACCCCGGTATTAGAAGTCCATCAAATGTCTAGAGGAGAGGGTTGTGTATATCCTATAAGCATATCCTGCCACAACTCCTGAAGTCATCTTTCGATCCGCTACTGATGTTGTGAGTTGCTGTTTGCCGCTCCCTTTTTCAATAAGCACTTTCCAGCTAAACACTTTGATACTTACAAAAACATGGACACTGAAAATAAAATATTTTATTTGCTCCTTTGACCTCTGAAGCACCCGGCGGCAGCTAGCAGATGACACAAACATCCAAGCCTCGATTTCACGTCAAGGGACCGACTACTTCCTCATTCTTATAAACTGTTTACGCTCATGCTTTGAGCCCTGATTAATAGCAGCTAGACGGTGCTGGATTTTCGAAGTGCGAAGGGTTGTTAACGGTTCTTCATACACCTCCCTTACCGGTAAGGGGCTGTAGGGTAGTAGTAGTGTAGTTCATTTCATTTGGACACGATGTATCCCTTCTTCACAACTTTTTAAATGATAACAAAGACACTCAGACTAACTTAACAAATTATCGATTGGTGAGGTTTCTCAATTTCATTTGAATTCGTCTTGAGAGACTGATTACTTCATGGGTGATCTTAACGTAAGTTACTCCACAACGTAACCCCCTACTGTATCTTAACATTTCGCGTACCAACGAAAAATTTTTCAAGTTACTGCAAAGCTAATGGCATAGACAGCTAGCTCAAATTCAACATTCGTTTGTCAAAACCGCATAACAAAGAACACGAACCGAGAACTCAAATAATTTAGAGTCTGGTGTTTCACAGTCTTGCACAATGGCATGTAAAAGTTGCTTTAACAGCGGCCCTAGGTAGGTAGGTATGTCCGATTCAAATTAAGTTTCAGACAGTTTGATAATTCTATATTCCTTTTCTGTCATATTCAAAAGCGTGTTGGCAGAAAACCATAACCTAAATCTCTCTAGGTCTCCGTTGATGTACGTTTTTCTTATTTCTTCAATGTTGTTGCTCACAAACGTTATCTGACTGGTAGCTGAGCGTACCCTGAGTGTTTTCCTTGGCGGATGTGAGCTGTGTTGCGGGCAGTTATTTAGGAAAATCACTAACAGAGGGTCCAAACTAGTTCCACGTGCTGATCATTACATTGAAAAAACCGTTTTGGTTCAGTGATTGCAATTCAGTCATTAGACAGCTATTTAAATAGGAAGCGTGTTTTGTTTTTTAAATGTACATTCTTAACCTTTTGCCAAACTTACTGTTCGATAACTAGTTAGATCAGTCTTTTCACCGTAATTGTGCAAAAAATGGGATTTGGACGTGCAGACAGTACTTAATTCGTTCGAGAAAATTCAGGCTACTATTGACTGGTTCAGAATGTACTCGAACTTCCAGTTACTGTCAATTTAAAATAGTGGTTTTCCTTAAGCGGCAAAGTGTGCAGGATTTTGACCTGATCAGATTTACCGGTAGGGTTCCACTTTTACGCGGACTAGTGTAAACACCTGAACCGTGGCATGCAAGTTTTTGCACCGTTTGCGCGGTAAAAGCCAGCAGCCTAGTTACTCACTTCTGTTTAAAAGGCCAGCACAATGCTGACCCTGGCAAAACTTTGAACGGTCTCGGGTAAAAATTACTGTTAGTAACAGAATTTAAACGATTCAGTGTAAACGGGCTGCAAAGACAAAAAAAGAAGTCCGTTCAAAAATTTATCAGGCCGGTGACGTGTAAACGGGGTCTCGATCAGGTTATGAAGGACATTCTTTATTTAAACAAAGGCTATGTTGAATTGCTTTTTTTTGAAAACAGACCACATTCCCACTCGAAAGCGAATCCGGGACCAGAACTAAGACACGAACAAGACCGCGAACTATTTATACTAACTGTTTGCGTCTTGTTGCTTAAGCGCCCTTTTTTCTTTGGCACAAATGGCCTTAGTATTACCCTGAGTGCTATGAACGCTAATCCTTAGCTTCACCTGTTACCTGATTATATTCAGCACAAAGTTCAAATAGCTAGGATACATCCATCAGTTAGTACAAACAATGAATAATAGGTGCCGCTCATCCTTTCGTTACTCAAAATAAGTGTCTTCCATTTCAGTTCTTGTTTGCATAAGACTCATTTGAGCCCATAATATACTAACCGCTTGCTGAGCCGCAGGTTCTATTTATTTCCTAGAATTAACGTTAAAACCTAGAAGATGGCGGCAATTATCGGTGAGAGACAAGAAGTTGGCGTAAGGAACATTGGGACGACTGCAACAATACCGGCGAATCCAAAAGCTAAACTGATGTACTATCTTGACTGTGTGGCAACCCTTATCGAGCTAGACAATCCCAATTTGAATCGTTTAAGGAATTTTCAGAATTACTTACTCCTTAACGATGCAGAAACAGACGCGCTTTTAACACTCGTCGTACTACTTAGTCCAGATGAGCTGATAGGCAAGATTTTTTTCCCCAAAGAAGATTTGCCTAGCAATAACGAATTCTACGAGCTCAGTGCAGTTTCTCACATGTTTGCTGTATCGGAAAACATGGTCATTGGGGGAAAGAGGACAAGAGTGGCTAAAATCATGTACTTCAAGAGGCGTTGGCTGGAAAATTTCTACATTACACCCATCATGTCATTCCAGGGCCGCCTGGAGAGGATTGCACGAGGGCTGCCTGGACGAGCACCCAGTCCACCAAGGGCACTACCGCCTCCAAGGGCTTTCACTCCGCCCGCACCAAGACCTCGGTCTCCTCCACAGTCTTGCATGTGTAATATTTTGTAGTAATCAAGCTGTCGATATTAGTGTAACGCTTTTACTCCATCGTTCAGGGCATGGAACAATTAAAGGTTCGGTTTTAGCATAAATATACGCGGTGCTGGTATGGGCGACATAAGTGGCAAAACTGATTATTAAGATTTCTTAAGACAATTTTCTGTGAAGAGTCACTGAAGAGAAGTAAATATATCCTCGTCGTTTAGTGGTGGAGTTTTTACGATGTACACACTGTAGCTGACCATTAATGCTAAATAAAACATTAAGATAGTGAAAAAGGTAAAGAGTCAGTTTTATTTTCAAGGGTAATTCAGGGTTTAAGCTAGAAAATTTTCAGTGGTACTCTCAGTTTTCCAAATTAACTCTAGTTCTTTTGCTAAGTCGTTTCAGCGAGGGTATGATGAATACCTTGTTCTTTAGGCAGCATTTCCTGCTTTTTGCGTGTGACAAATTCGGGAAAAAGACTACATCTTCCCACGTTTAAAAAAATTATAATGTTATATAGTAAATTTCCACTACTAGAAGGAGTCACTTTAGGGACACCCTATATGGGCATAGAGGGGAATGGGAGCCGTCAAAAAGTATTGTTGTAAGAGCAATGGGAGCTGTAAAAAAGACAACGGGACCTGCCAAAAATGGACCGATGAGAGGAGCATGACTTCATCACATACCGCAAGTGTCATGCAAGAAGTCACACCAAACTGAAAGTAAAATTTACTTGTGAATTTTTAATGGTAAAACCCTATATTTACAAGCGGGAACGCAGGAGGGTACCGAATTGACCCTTGTCCCTTTACAAATTGATCAAAATCTTGTACGTCAGGGCTTGATCCTCAGCTGTCCTGTGGTTTCGTTGATTAAGCGCTGGTCAAAGTCCGTTTCTAACTTCTTGGTCTGCGTTACAGAATGGAGAGTCTTGGTCGTGACGTTCCACATGATTTTATGGGGTCATGAACAACCGAACAACCAAGGTGCGTGCTATAGGGGACGGGTCACTCAATTCGTCATGCAACAAAGCCCTCTTGGTATCAAAATTGATGACATCATTATTGCGGTAATTTTGGGAAAACCCACATGCCTTGTGACAGTGTTTGCCGCTTCTTGTCACGTAAACATAATCGTTTGGGCCCAGACCTATGTAATCTATGATTGGACCTCCGTCCAGCTCGTCTTTAAGCTGTCCGAGGTACTTACCGCGTGGTAGACGTTTCAGACCAAGGCTGACTGTATACATGACCGAGTCCATCCACGTACAGCACGCGATCTCGCAGCGGGAGGAGTCCTTCTCGATAGAACTCAGGTGGATCCCAGATTCCGCCGTGGTGCATATGGCCACGAAGATGTTCGTTCGACAGGAGAGTTCCCCCACAGACGTGACGAAAGAATGATAAACATCCAACATCTCATCCTCTACGGGTAAGAGGCCATGTATGATCATCGTATAGTCCTCGGAAAGGTTAAAAAACTGGTCAGCTGTTTGACAGGTCGTCACTTGTCTTATTGGTTTGCTCTCCGACCTTGCACAAAAGCTGTTGGCCATGAGTTTACACGGGGCTCGGCGACCGGGATATTTCTCGATACGCTCTGCGTTGAGTGCCATTCCCTCACGCTGCAGGTAGTCGCGAAGGTAGTCGGCTCGACGGTCTGAATGATTGGCGACATCGGGGAAAGGCCAGCCGTCCGATTAGATTTTACTTTTAATAGCTGTGTTGATATACTCTTTGAAAAGAGTGAGGTTCAAAATGCCAGGTTTCATACTTCATAGACTTGGTAACCTTGCTCGAGTGCCAGCTTGAGTTCCTCACTCCACCATGACCATGTTCCTGTGAATGTGCGTTCAGCGTCCGAGTGTGGATACAAGTGGTAGCGGTCGTACCATGGTTTGGCGAGTTGCTCTTTGTCGAAGGTGAGACTGGAGCATGCCAGCTTCTCTTATGGGTAGTACGGGGTGATACAAACCTCGGGATGCTTGAACTTTGCATTGGATGAGACCATACGTCATACAGACGACTTGAGCCCATTCGGTTGGATTGGTTGCGTGATATTCTGTCTCAATGTGTGGATGACTTGTCGGGTAGGGTCGTGTTTTGTTGATGCATGGATAGAGGGAGGTAAAATCATCGTAATGAATGTCCTCTCCCGTTTCACGATGGGTGACAATAGGCTCGATTCGTCCACCAAAAAAGCATCTCGTGGGTCCAATCGGGTGATGATGTTTAACTGCTCCACCTAAGCAGGAAAGTCTTTGTCTCCGTCTTTCATTCTTTTCCATTCGCATTCCCACATTTCCACTACTACGTAACCGGCTGCATTCAAGGCGCGTCGAGGTTTCATCGTCTTGATCCCTTGATCGTGTGGGGTGGCGTAGTTGACTTTGCTGATCTGCTTTCTCCCATTGGGGTAACATTAACAACGCCCATGCCACAGAATTCCATAGAATTCATACACGTTAAGGGTGGATTCGTGATACCCATCCAGGTGTAACGTGTACTTGGAAGTGTCGTGAACGGCAACCTCCCCTCTTTCGTTTTGCCCGTAACGCAAACGAGGCTGACCCTCATCTGTGGTGCCCAACTGCGCAATGACGTGGTGTAACCATACTAAGGCCACAACTGTCTGATAAATCTGGAGGGTCCATCATGCAGGGGCTCCAGGGCAATGGTATCCGGTTTTAGGAACAACCACCTTAAAGCTTGATTGTGGGCTGAGGCAATCATGATGTTTTCTTCAAAAGGGTCGAATCCATATTAATAATAATAATCTTTAATTAACAAGAAACTTTCATCACCTCACTTTGAATTGATTAACTGAAAGGTCCTAACTAAGATTGACAAGTACTAAGTTACATACTATACAGTTAAATGAAAGATACCAAGGAATAAAAATATATATCTAGCCGAATTTATGAAAACGGCACTAGTTGGCTCCTCGAGGACAAGAAACTGAGCTCTTACTCATGGGCCTCTTAAGGTGACTTTCTCCTTGGTTCCTGATTAGCAAAGAAACATTCAAGTCCATCAAAAAGACACTCTCGACTTGGCCATATACCCTAGCTACTTTACGGCTCTACATGACAGAGGATGCTTTAGACTTAAGCAAGTTCTAAGCAGAGAATTCAAGGCCACATCACCCCCCTGAATCCTCCCCCAGCCGAGCGCGTACTTGAGGGGAATGCTTTCATTGGCCAATGTGCCTCAAAACATTAAAAGAATTTGACATGACAAACTTAAGGCAGACACATGACGAGTGCACTGATTCTAGAAAGAGCAGTTTGGCCGCATTCACGATTTGGGCCGGGTTCATGGCTTCCTTGGTGATTCATGTTCCTTCCTTGCTGATTCAGCACCAGGTAAACGTCATAACCCTGAAAGTTGTGAGCAATCACTCCTAGCTTCGTTACCATTAGGATCCCCGTTTTTTAGTCGGATCATCCAAGCCAAAAACTCTTGAATGGTTTGAAAGGTGAGGCATCGGTCGTTCTGGTTGGTTTCCACACAGACTAGATTAACCTCATGGCCCTTTGTCGACTTGCATACGCTCACAATCAACAATATTGTTACCAGGGTGTTTGGTTAACTAGGTGTCGTGTTTGGACGGCTCGTTGGCTCTCAGGAGGGTGGTGGTCGGCTAAACGCATTAGGTTGTTCCCTCTTGTGCCAGCGACAGTTGCCTTCAAGATACATGAAACAGTGATGGATTCGCATATCGAAGATCTTGCTGCAATGGCAGCAGAGCTGATCTCTACACGTATGCTCCATGTACGACTGTCGGGAAATGAACGTACGGGCACAGACGGGTCACTGTCGATAACTGGCATAGACTTGATCCATTTGTTCGGTGGCGACGCCGGCATCCGTCCGATGGAGATGCATATGACAACACGGGAGTTCCCAAAACATGCACTCGCATTGACGACAGTGGGTATTGGCGCGAGTATTTTCTTTGTCGAGGTTGACAAGGAGATCTGGACAATTCTTCTAATGACAACAAGTGCATTTTATCCAAGAGCAGCTATGCGTTCTTAAGTCATTTTTACAGAATCCCTTAAGACATCATAGACAGTAGTTGACAACTCCCAGAGGGCCTTTGAAGGAGGGGACGACGTTTTAGTGCCTTTGAGAGCAGATATAGGTAGGGGGTCTCCTCGTCCAACACTTGATCTGCGGGGGGTTAGCTAAAGTTATTACCATGATCTGCCGAGACCACTTCAATCGGTGCCAGAGCAATTTCAAATAAAGGCATGATATCTATCCAGGTTCTTCCGAAAAAATTGGAGAACGTAGCGTTGCCGAGTCGTTAGAGCGCTGGACTTGCAATTCGGAGGCCCCGAGTTCAAGTTCCGTTCTGGCCGCTAGCTGGATTTGTTCATGGTAGTCCCGAGTTCAAATCCTCGACCATTCTTGTAAATAGCCAGATGGTTTGCTTCCGGTCAGTTGGGATTCTTAACCCTGTTAAGTTCAATTTGAATTATTTGTTTCAGATATTTGCTCGGCCCCTCTAGCATTAGTGCTATAAATACTGCCGAGGGTATTAGTAACGGAATTATTTTTTATTTTATTTATTATAATTGAGGGAAGAAAGCAAGGGGAACATCCTAGGTCTATCCTGGAATACCCCCATACCCCCTATGAAACATACCAGGCCCGTAGCAAGCATAAAATGACTGGGGCTGAGCGAGTGGCCCACATCAACTCCCCCGCTTCGGTCCCTCGGTTAAAGCATACTTCTTGGTACATGTCAAATCACTACATTTGTCTACAATACCTTTTGTTCCTGTCTCTAATTTTCCGTTTGTGTTGACTTTGACGAAATAGAGAACTTGTTTGGGATATCGTTCGCGGAAAATTTGCCAAACAATTGCTGTCGGTTTTCTTTCTCCCCAACGAAGTCATTAGCTACGTCTACAAGGGTCAGAGCAACTGTTCTGTCCTTGTGAACATGCAACATCATGAGGTGGTTCAGGTGGGATTGTCATTGGTGCATTTCGATCCATTTTGCTTCTGACTATTTTGATGCTTAACAAGCAGATATTTTAAAGCTGCTGGTTGCTTTTGGCAGAGCAAAAATACCATTTCGTTCCTTTACACAATTCCAAATCGCACATAAGAAGAACAGTACATAAGTTTACTATGATCGACAATACTTTGAAACTTTAGCTTCCATTGACAGCTGTCCACTTTAGTCGAAAAATTCCACTTTTGTAGCAGAATTAATAGGTCTTATCACGGTTTTCGACGCCATCTTGACGAGTAGGCAACCGCGTGAGAAATTACAGTGTTTGTATGAGAATCTAATGTGGAATAATTTCCGTAAAACGGCCTTTCTGAAAAAAATATGAACTGTAAACTAACGCTACACAGCAAAGGATTTTACTATCAAATTTTGGAGGCCGTTACTGTGCTTAAATTTCTCCAGACGCTTGCTTCAGATTTTCCACATATTTGTCTGCAATATTTTCTCGGGAAACGTTTACAGGCAAATGTATAGAAAATTTTAAAAAGTGGTTCTAACGCATATAGCTGCATGTAACGACCTCAAGTTTTTTCAGAAGAATCGTTAGGAGTGAAAATTTAGTTTACAATTCATATTTTTTTCAGAACAGCCGTTTTACGGAAATTTTTGGACATTAGATTCTCATACAAACACTGTAATTTCTCACGCGGTTGCCTACTCGTCAAAACCGTGATAAGGCCTATTCAAGTCTGAAAACGTCTGGGGGGGCTCAAGCCCCCCCTGCCCCTCCCCCTGCTACGGGCCTGCATACCCTACAAATAACAACGATGAAGAAGTGAAAGACAGATTTTATGATCAGATGCAAGCCTAGTTAGAGGAAATACCAAAGCATGAAGTGAATATTGTGATGGGGGACATGACTGCAAAGGTTGGAAGGGATAACACCAAGTACGAGAGAACCATGGAAAGAGAGGGCTGTGGCACCATAAATGAGAATGGAGAGAGGCTGGTGGAATTCTGCACAAATTACGACCTCGTCATCGGAGGGACGTTCTTTCCACACAGCGATATCCACAAGATGACCCGGTACTCTTCCAACGAAAGGAAAATAGGCCATTTCATGATCAACGGTACCTGGCAGCGGTTACTTATAGATGTCAGAGTGAAGAGGGGAGCTGACGTTGGCAGCGATCACCATATGGTTGTGGTAACATTGACGTGGAGAAATTGCAATACGCCAAAGTCAGAAGTAACTTTGTTCTGCATCTGACGAAATAAGTTTCAAGACCTGGTAGATTGGGAGGACTACACGCAGTCTGATCAGGAAGATGTGAGCATCAAGCATGAGCAAGTGAAAATAGCATACCTTCAGATCAGTAAAGCCTGCTTGGGTACAAGAGTAATGAAGAAGAAGGAATGTATCATAGCAGATACTTGGCAAGTCATTAATACCAGGAGAGAATTGAAGAAACAGTTCATTGAGGCCAAGTCCGAGAGGCTGAAAGAAAGGCCCAAGCAGCAGTACCAAGAGGCAGACAGAAAAGTGAACACGAGATTGGCAAGAGCAGACAAACGAGCGTTCATGGATGACCTTGCAAGCCAGGCAGAACACGCAACCACTAAAGGAGAGCAAGGGAAGGTGTACAAGATCACCAACTGAAGGTAGTCTGCGGCAAGTATCGGAAACCTACTGATGCACCAGTTAGAAACAAACAGGGAGGATTGCGAATATCATAAGCGGAAATAGACACTTGCTGGGCAAAACACTTCAGTGAAGCCCTGAACAGGCCTTCACCAACAGCAGAAGCTGACGTCTAGGAAGAAGAGCATGAGCTTGACGGTAACACTGCACCACCAGAGAAGGAAGAGATCTTCTCAGCAATCAAGTCCCTGAAAAATAGTAAAGCCCCCAGACAGGACAACCTTAAAGCAGAATTGTTCAAGGCAGCCCTTGAACTTAAAGCCGAGACACTTCTTCCACACTTTACAACCATATGGGAAAGAAAGGAGATACCAAGCGACTGGTTAGAGGGTATCACTGTAAAGATCCCGAAGAAGGGAGCCCTTAACAATTGCAATAATTGCCGGGGAATCACACTTTTATCCATTCCTTGCAAGATCCTCGTAAAGATAATGATCCAGCGGCTAAATGATGCAGTAGACCAACAGCTGAGGGAAGTATAGACCAAATATTCACGCTGCGTAACATCATCGTGCAGTGCACGGAATGACAGAGACCGCTCTAAATCAACTTTGTGGACTTCGAGAAGGCTTTCGACAGCATCCACAGTGACAGCCTTTGACGCATACTCCGTGCATATGGAATACAACAACAAATTGTCCTTCTCATCATGATCAAGAGCTTTTACAACAATTTTACATGCAAAGTAGGAAACAGCGACCACAGTTTCCAAGAGAAGACTGGAGTGAGGAAAGGCTTTGTGATGTCGGCTTTTCTGTTCAACATCACAATTGACTGGGTGATGCGGCGAACTACGGAAGATAAGACGAGAGGCATATGATAGATCCTCTTATCAGCACTTGAAGACCTGGATTTTGCTGCTGACCTGGCCCCGGTCTCCCACACCCACCAACGCATCCAGGAGAAAACATCTCGACTTAACACATACACTCAGCAGATAGGCCTGATGATCAGCCAAAAGAAGACGGAGGTGATGACATTGAACGTCCAAAAGTCCCACGGGTGCAGGTGAATAGAGAAGATCTTACCTACGACTGAGGAGTTTATCTATTTAGGAAGCACTGTTAGATGTGATGGAGGAGCAGGCAATGACGTAAAAAACCGTCTCAGCAAGTCCAGAAATGCCTTCAGAATGCTCAACAATGTTTGGAGATCCCAGCACTACAGCATAAAGACCAAGCTGAAGCTCTAACAGAGCTGTTTACTCTGTACCCTGTTATACGGCTTAGAGTAAGTAAGTATGTAACTTTTATTAATGTGGTCAAATACGCTTAGCTCATCACAGTATCGCAAGTATCGCTATTTTGCAGGTATTGCCACAAGTAACAATAGCGAAAAGAGGAAAACAAAAACACTAAGATACAATAGAGAATATCTATTCACGATATAAAAATCTGTGAATATGTCAGTAATAAAATAAAATAAAACTACCTACAGTTCAATAACAATTATAATATAAGTATTTACAGATCAATATAACTGTGTGACGTCAATTTTTTTTCAAGCGTCTTTTAAAGCTACTTAGTTTAGTCTCATGTTTTAATGAGTTTTGAGTGTTAGAGAATGACTGCCAGTGACCTTAACAAGCTCTCCGTTTTCCATACAAAGAGCCTGCGAAGAATCCTGAGAATCTTCTGGCCCAAGACCATCTCAAATGGACAACTGCTTGATCGTTGTCGTCAAGACATCATGGAGACCATTAGGGAACTTAAGATGGAGACGTTTTCGGGGCGACGGCGACCGGACTGGCAGAGACAGCCTGGAGTTAAGGCAGCCGTCGCTTCCCATCAAAAATAGAACATTAAGATCGCAGTGAACTCAGAAGGACGGCGCCTTTAATTAGAAGAATACCGAAGAGGAAAATATGGCTTCACATAAAGAATTAAGAGAAGAAATATTTGCTATGCAGACAACATGTATCGGATGAAGCGTTTCTCGTTTTGTGGGAAAATTATGAGTCCAAAAATCCCGATTTTTCTCGGGACAGTTACGATCCGTTCACGCTAAAAAACATGCGGGATGCAGCTGAGTTCAAGGCAGAATTTCGTGTTGAAAAAAAAAAAGATCTCCACAGGCTTGCCGAAGCCTTGCAAATTACAGGAACATTAAAATGCTACCAAGGAACTGTATTCTTAGTTTGGTATCGAAATAATTCCCGAGAAATACTTGCATGCAACAACAGCAACAACGGCAACAACTTTATTTCAGTATTCCCACGCCTAGTTAGTACATGGTATTACCTACTAGCGAACTAAAAACACACAATTGAAATATCGGAGTTCATATTTTTAGTCTGGATACTTTTATTTGGCTCGTAGGGGAAATTTTGTCCTTGTCAAGCTCACTTACGGTTGGCTGTTTGCCAAGTTGGATCTTGACCCTGTGACATGAAAACATAGAAACATTCAAAGATGTAAGTTTAGATAACAGAGCTTGGAAATCGAGCTTGAAATGTGCCTCAAAGAAAACAAGGACAATTTAAGAACGATAATCTGCAAAATGTTGGTTGCTAAACGCAACAAATCTGATTGAAATGAAAGTTAAATACTCACGTTTTCGCCACAACGCCAAACAGACCAGTTTCACGTCGCCGACGGGACCACGACGGCAAGGTGGTCAGCACGAGCATGCGCAATATCCAACAAATGATGATGTCACGTCCGGTTGAAGTTGCCGTCGCCCCGAAAACGTCTCTATCTTAAGTTCCCTATTATCAAGAGGAGACGGTGGAGGTGTATTGGGCACGTGCTTAGGAAAGAACCTGGTGATATCACCCGCTCAGCCATACACTGGACACCAGAAGGCAAGCGCAAGAGAGGAAGACCGAAGAACACCTGGCGACGAACGGCAGAGAGAGATGAAGACCCTAAACCACACCTGGGGCATCAGCCGGAAGCTGGCCCAGAACAGACAGGAGTGGCCGAGGACCTTCGTTACTGCCCTTAATGCCAGCGGGCCATGCTTGCGGTAAGTAAGTAAGTACGACATGTTTTATTAGTTCAAGATTCTCGCCAGTTTGCTCTGCCCGACAACTAAAAATATCGCTGATAATACTATTTAAAAAAAGAACTCAGAACTCTAGCCTGTTTACAGTTGAACAACCGAAGTTCTCGTGAATTTGAACAAATGCACTTACACAAGATAAACTGCAGGAGAAAAAGATCCCGTTGGTCGCCATGTACAACGCTTGTGCAAAGCTTGCTATTTTGTTTGAAGTTACCACACTGGTTTTGCTGAATGAGAACAGATGCTACAGGTAACTGTATTGGCGTGGTGGATAGCTTGGGAGCTTTGTAGCCTTTGGTTGCATCTATTAGCTTGAGTCAGATCTTCTTCGGCCAAACAGGATGCATATGTATTTCGCTGATTTCGGCGAGTGACTTTGCTTTCGTCAAGAAATGTAAACATGCTTGACTTACTTCGTTCTTGTTGGTCGAGTACTAACTTTTGTGGCTGTCTGTGTTTCCAAGGGTTGCATTCTATAGCAGTTTTTAAAAATACTTTAACCATGCCACGAAAAGATTTCCTTCGGTTACGTAGTTGTATCCACCGCGAGAGAAAAATACAAACTGAAAATGTTTTTTGCTGGCACAATGACGATTTCATTTACAATATATGGTCACAGCGCGGTTATGAGCCAGGGGCACCCAACGAGGATATAGTTCAAAACCACTTAACATAGATAGCATTGTTGAACGTATTTTAGTATTTAAACGGTAGATATAGGCATATTTTTATCCCCTAAAAACTTTTCATCTGTTCGGATTTCCTAGCTGAAAGTCTAGTGATCCGAAAATTATAGGGATAAAAACTTACCTTTTCGAAAATTTCAGCCAGGAAAAGGCTCCCGAAAATTCTAGGTGGCCTTTTTTAGGGTAAATATCCGTTTAAAATGGGTAATTATACCATATTGTAGATGTTCGAAAATCCTAGGAGAGCAGGCAAGCAAGAAATTTTACAACAAATGTTCCGAAAATTCTAGTTCTCAAATCGTCTTCCGAACAGATACTTTCCCGAAAATTGCCGTTGGGTGCCCCTGATGAGCTGATAACCTTGCCCCATTGAGCGAATCAATACCATTGTCCAGTTTTAAATAATATTTTTAAACTCTCCTCGAATTACAGACTAGCAATGGACTAAAAATCTGTCCTCTTTATAGTACTGTGGATTGAAGACCGTTCTGAAAGCTCTCTGGAATAAACACAAGGGTAATTTGCTACGGACGGTTCTGAATATCTAGGTTTTTTGGAAAGGGTGTCAAAAGCACAAAAAACAAGTCAAATTTTGTAGGCTTAACTTATTTCAAGAAAAAGTATACTCCCTAGACCCTGCAGAAATGGACAGAGGAATGCAATATCGAAGGCGACAAGTGCATTAAATGTTACGAGGCCTATCAATCCGCTCCAAAATGTACTAAAAGCACAAGACTGGTAGAATTCCAATTCAAACTTCTGCATAGACGAATATTGACCAATGACATTTTAACAAAAATTGGAATAAAAGACAATCTAAACTGCTCCTTTTGTAAAGAACAACTAGAAAAACTAAAGCATCTCTTTTGGTCTTGTTCCAAAGTAACTACCTTTTGGAATTCCTAAATCCAGCGACTTACTTTCTCTCAAATTATCCCACAAAATTAGATAATAAATATATCTACTGCCTTTGGATTGACACCAGACGCCTCCAAAAACCATCATCAAATATCAAGAGCCATAATGGTCCCATTATGGTTCTTGCAAATATATTTTTGTCTATTATTAGTCAGACATCATATTTGGATATGTGAAAAAAAGAAAGCCTCTCCTACTATACAAACTTTCTACAATACCTTAAATCAAACTATCTACTAGAGCTAAAACCTGGTGATAGCCCTAGTAAAAACTGGAAGTTACTGCAGACTTTATTTTGAAACACCTTAGTTTATTCTTGTTGTTCTTCTTTTTTTCTCTCCACTCTCCTCGTTCCCCTGCATAAAATCGTTCAAGCGTTCCTTCACTGCCCACTTAAACAAGCTTAACCGCCGCCATGATAATTTCTCTGTGAAATGTTTTTCATTTTTGATTCATGTAAATATTACAAGCAATGCACAATTGCATGGTATCAAATTGTAAGCTAGTTATTGCTAGTCTCAATTTGTAAGTACCGTTTAGGGTATTGCCTGTATGCAATTTTCTGTTTGTGAGTGCCTATTTTTGTTACGATTGCAATAAAAAACGGTGTTAGGGACCGGTTACTTCTTTTGTTGCTGTGGAATCTCAATAACTTGCGGTGGAATACATCAACACCGATGACGTCATAGCCTTTTGTCTTTATCTCATGAAGAAAATGCGGTGGATTCTCATTATCTTCCCTTCTTCTAATACGATAGAAACAATAGACGCACTTCCTTTTTCTGATTTAACCTGTTTGTCATATTCTAGTTTTCTTTAACCGATTGACAGTTTTATTAGTAATTTTTTAGGGGAATGAATGTCTCGGGTTTTGATTGTTCGACTTGAAACTAAGAAAAGCGTTCGTTGGTTGAATCATGTTGTCGAAGGAATAAGCTGTAACTCGCCTTTGACCTCAAATCACTGACCAGTAACGTAATTATGCGCATCCTATTTCCTGCGGCTGTCATTGCCCGTTGCAGACAACTTATCGTCCTGGTTGTGGTTCACTGATTCTTGGCGCGAAAGTTGCGCAAAGTAATGAGCATGAAAGCAGACTAGCCCTTTCTAAAACCAAAAACAATTTTTCATTTTCCCTTCATCACCACCACTACCACATTTCTGTTAAGTCCCCGTCCACACGTATCCGTTTTTGTTTATACAAGGTGGTGAATATTACGCGCGCTGTGATTGGTCGTGGCTTTGCCTAGTTCCTTGGCCTCATTATTCCGCCTGGCCAGTGTGTTGCGGGTCACGTGGTCCCAGCGAAGACGTTTTCCGCTCGTTCGCCTCGGATACGTCACAGACGTAAATTGACCGAGAAGCCCTGGGCAAACGCCGTACCAACATCGTTTCTTGCTTTGAGAAAGCAAGAGAGAGAACCCTGCGCACGAGGTTGACGCCGTACAGGGACTTGGAAAGTCGTTTGCCCATGATCTATCTAAGAACAGACACACGGATGATGTCTCTGGAAACTTGTTTTCTTTGTTTTGTTCAACATGGCGCGGTTTTTAAAAGGTTTGCGGACGATTATTTCGGATTTAAGCAAGTGAAGACCTCAAAAGAAGTTTATCAGGAGCTATTTACAAAGAAAAAAAAAAATAGAAAAACTGAGTTTTTGACGACTTGAAAATGCCTAAACTGCAACACTCGTGTTTTTCCCGCCACTTCTTTGTAAAATGAGCTAAAGCGTTCCTTGGGTACCCCTGAAAATGTGTTTTGTATGGGTTGATTTTTACTGTCCCTCTCCGTCACGGGAATTTTAAACTGACGTGCGGCGTGACTCACTTCGAACAAGAGCGATTCCACAGAAGCGCTAAGTTCAAGTTTTTTTTGCTACATTTTCGTCTTCTTGAGGCCATGACTCGATGTTTGGTTCTAAATTGACATTTTCAAGGAAGCAAAATCCTCGTCTGTGCTCAAGCAAAGTTTTAGAGCGATTGAAGTAGTTTGAAGCTTTTTCTTCGGACAGAAGAAAAAAGTAAGTAAAAAAATAAGTAAAAAAGTAAGTAACTTTCGCGCTACAACTCGACTGAAAAGGCTTGCTACGCAGGCTATTACAGGGCCGGAAACTGTAGGCAAACAACACAGACCAACTCTTTATGAGGTATGTACACTTTAATGGCTGTTTTATATGTGCTCTTTTTTAACCGTTTTATCGATCTTATGATAAATTTCCATACAAATCCCAATAAATTGGCTCCAGTAGGCTGTTGTGAGTCTGGTTGCCCTGTGTCTCAGCCAAAAACGACAACGTGCAATTGAAACCTAATAACGTCCAGTGCGGGTCAGTGCAGTGTTAAAATCCCCGCTACAACGCCCTGTTATTTAAAGGTAGGGGTGAAATTCGTCTTGCCCTCGTGATCATACGCTGTCGAACTCGCGTTAAATCCCCGGTATGGTCGCGTTAATTCCACGGTTTTTCCCGCGGGGTCAGGGGTGGGGGTTTCAATTGACTAGTGCATAACGTAGTAAAAATCAAGAAAATTAACAAATGTCATGACAAATGTTTCACACCTCCGCGGCAATTACCGATGTCTTTGGTAGACTTCAACATGTTTTTCCAACATGTCTCGTCGAGTAACGCAAACGTAATAATTAATTTTCTCAGTTAATTTACCTATTTGAACGTTTGACTTGGGACAAACGCAGCTGAAAAGTGTGAAGTTGTTAAAAGACGTTGTTCCCAACATGTTATTAACAATGTTTTGAGTTTTATGGATAGTTTAAGGCATTTCTAATCAATAAGAACTCTTTCGTGAGTACCTAATCAAGCCGTCCTAGGAACATAAACATTGTAACGTCCTATTTCTCATTTTTGATCACTAGAATGTTGACACAATGTTGAGAAATCGATTGTCATTCTGAAAATTTTTAATTAAAAAAACTAGTAAATAAACCAAAAAGTTATTTGTCATTCACAACCCAAACATATTATTTTATATTGGTTGGTAACATATTTTGCTGACTTAACTGAAATTTCTCTTTAAACTAGTGCTTAAGATTAAATGAAATCCTCGAACATATATTTTGATGCAGACTCCGAAAGAGGATATACCGTTCAAGAGTATGCTGCTATTAAAACAAATCAACATGGCAAAGAAATTCGTCACTGTATGATTTATAGTTTTGAGTTTAATTTTTATTAAGTGCTTTTTTCTCATGAGGTCTAATAAGCTAGACTGTTTCTTCATTAATCGACCGTCCAGGTTTGAAACAACTACAGCTTAAACAACTGCAATATAAGTGTCGGATTGTGGCTTTTACTGCTTGTCTCACTTCTTTGATCCTCCAATAGTACAGAAATGGGTTAAGGGAAGAGTCTAAGTAAACAAGAATTGTTGCGAAAGAGCCAAAGATGAAACTCGTAGGGGTGATATGACCGTCATTGAGCAGTGCTATCACGAGGACAAGAGCAAATGGTACATAGCAAACAACGAACGCCAACTGCACCAAAGCTATGCTAGCAACGGTCTTTTTGTATCGTGCTACGTTGAATGAAATTCCAACTCCGCGGTTTGGTTTTTCACGATGAGCATTATGTTGTATGCAACCTTGATGTAGACGCAGTCTAATAAATATAATGGTGTAAGAAAGAAGTGAAATAATAACGGAAAGCAGAGCTAAGACTGTACTTGTAGCCAAGGCGATGTTTTTTTTCCAAAACAAGAACATGAACACACACAAAAAAGCAATTAACCAAAAACTAAACACAACTACACGAACTCGCTTCAGTGTTACAACGTGCCTGTATCTTAACCCCAACAACAGGGCGAGAAGTCTATCCACACTCAGGGCGGTCGATGTGAACATCGACACTGCACAAAATATAATCGATAGATCCCAACGCACAACGTTGAGAATAGCGATGATACTCTGACGCTTACTGTTTGTCAGGTAGAATAAGTGGTAGATGGAAAAGAGTGGCTGCGAAGTAAGGCCAACGCCAAGATCAGTAATCGCCAGGCATTGAAACAACAGTTTTGTCGGCGGATGGAGAGAAGTTACTCCACGAAGAGCAATCAGGATCAGAATGTTGCCCAGAGATGCTGTGATGGAAAGAGGAATATTAAGAGAACAAAAGGCAAGCCTCCATGTTGCTAGATATGTCGCTGAAGAGGTGACGTTTCCATATTCATTTGAGTTCCTCATTTTGTATATGGCTCAACCGACTTTCAGGTATACATGCTCTTATCGGACTGCATAACAATTAAAAATGAACGAGTAGGCTAAAAAGTATCTGTTTAAACTGCTCAGCCCTTATTGTTGACAATTCAAAATGAAAATTAAAAGTGACAAGTACATGTCATAAGTGCCCAAATATTGTTTTGTTAACATTTAATCAGACCACAGATCTTAATTTACTTCAAGTAGGTGCTTTATTTGGTGTACCTCCTTGGTCAACATTTTAAATTGGGCACAATACCTGCTGAAAAGGAAGTTATTGAGAAATTATTCTAAGAATTACTTAAACACTATTTTTAAAAAATAGATGACTTCCGATGCAGGCGTTTTGCAGCTAAGGCGTATCCATATGCTGGAATTATAAGATGCTACTTAAAGAAAGAAGAGCGTGAGAAACTTAGCTAAAAAGCTAGTTTTGGGGTGGGTGACTTATAAAACAAAGACGGCGGTATAATGTGTGGAAATTAACAGCGTTTGGTTATGGTAAAATCGTTGGACGGCTGGATGTATGTACGGTCCCGGCCGGGCCTGGGGCCCGTTTCTCGAAAGTCCCTATAATTAACGGGCCCGGTAAGCTGTCTCCGTTTACATTAAAGATCGAAGTTTCAATAGTTTTGCATCTAACATGATAAAACTGTCAGTTAATGAAACAAAATGGAGTAGTCTGCTAGCCAGGACCTGCGCTCTTATTCTTTATATTTCGATTTGAATATTTGATTTCGGGCCCGAAAAGTTACCGGGACGTTCGAGAAACGGGCCCCTGTTTTGTGAGCCAAGAACTGTGCTACTATTCAACAGGTTTTGACTTTAAAATTTGCCTTCGGGCCCGTAAAGTTTCCGGACTTTTTCCATAGATAGAACTCGTATTCTCCTTGTTTTTCAAACTGTCGTATAGTCTCGGTGTTAATTAGAGTTTTAAGCCTCAGCAGAAAAAATGGTAGACGTACTCCTAGTTTAATGTTCTTTTTCTGGTTATTTTTAAAGTTATATCCCATAATTTGGGCATTAGATACGTCAAGTGACCCCCGACATTTATGCAAACCCTCGACTTCGTCTCGGGTTTGCATAACTGTCTCCTCGCGAAACGTCCCTCAGCGGCGATGAGCGAGGAGAAACGTCTGCCGTGCGCAGGCTAAGATGTTGATACATGGGCGCTACCTGGGCAACTAAGCATTTTGGAAGATATGTTAAATGAAGAGAAGACATCGTGTTTTGACGAAATCTGGTTGGCAGTGTCAAAGTTGTCAGAACCAGAACAAAATATCTCTAAGCTGCTTGCTGTAAATCCTGCTACGGGCGCTAATATACTGGCGAGCGTTTATTCTCATCTGCAAGGCGTCTGAAGGCGTGGCTTCGATCCAGGATGGATCACGAAAGGTTTAGCAGCCTAGCAATGAACAGACAGTGTCCCTATAGAGTTGCACAGGAGTTTGTTTCCCGCAATGAGAACTGTAACTTCAAGAAGTAGCAATCTTAAGAGGGTTTATTTAACATATTGACTATATTGGATAGTATAACACCTGTTGACGTTTATGTTACATTCATTGAGGCTGTAAATAGGATGGCGCGCAAGTGCAATTTAAGTAGCGAAACCCTGACCTTAATATTTTTTTTTGTACTGGCCAGAGTTTTTAGCCCTGCCACTTTAAAATGGTCTCCATGGTCCCTGGTTAAGCACCATGGGTTGAGCAATGAGGTTTTGACGGTAAAAAGCCGAACTGAAACGCACTTCCGACAGACATAACGGGCGACAGAAGTAATATCGCCTGCAAAGAGAGATGCACTGACAAATATTCTTTGATCTCAATCGATTTTCGCTCTTATTTTGAATCAAACCTCTATAACGTATGGAATGTTTCATAAAAACATGGACTGGACTGGACTGGAGTCAAAGAATATTTGTCAATTTTATCATTCCATGTTTCATATCACTCCAGTACAGTCCATGATCATGTGCCGTGATGAGGGACTGGATGGAGAACTTTGGACCCGTTTAGCAGAACAGGTCGAAAGCGAACTGTGAGAAGCGAAGCAACTTAAAATCAACCTGATTCTGGTGGATCTTTACCACCAGCTGCCAACTCTCAGCCAAAGCAAAAAGAACATTCCCATGTCTTCTATGTCCTGATCTAATGGAGAGCGGAGTATAAGCAACTCCTGATCTGACTACTCATCAACACCTACTCCTATCACCGAGACCACTGAGCAGTCTGTGCATGCTCCCCTGGCGTCGTAAAGCTGCGAGCAGTCAGTTTAACTTTCGTTGAAGGGACTAGCCTCCAAAAGTGATTGACGTACCGAAAGTAAAGAAAATTCAGGTTATTATGGAGAGTAGTTAACTGACAATTGGTCCAAAAAATATTACTTATAATAACTGACATAAATATTCACCGAAAAATTAGTGGTTAACTGAGAATTGGTACTGCCTTTAGCACCCTCTGTCAGACATCATGCACCTATCAATGTAAAGCCGGCGGGGGGGGGGGAGGGCATGGGGTGGGTATTTGATTGTCTTTGTTGTCCCTGGAATAGGGCATTTGACTGATCTTATTCTCCCGGGGGAGGGGATATTTGAATCTTTCTTCGCCGACGTGGAGATATTTGACTGCCGACTAGGCCGAAAAAGCCGAGACCGAACATATGTTTCCCGCTTCCACGCTTCACGCATGCGCCATACGGTTTGAAAAGATCAGGAAGTCATGGCGGCCAATGAGAACAAGCGAAGGCTGAGTGGAGTTCACTGTTTTGTCTTCAAATTTCGTTTTTTCTAGGGTGTTTTTGATCAATCGAACCTCTTAAAATACTGTGGTATCAAAGTAAACGGAAGTAAAGGGAAACCAAGTCGATTTTTGCAAGTACAATTGATTAGTGTATGGCTCATTCGCTACAATCACTGTAAACTTATAAAACTAGCTTTCTTTGTACCCTTTACTAAGAACGGTATATTTAGACTTACAAAATGTGTACTTTCTCCTAAAGGTTTATGTATTCTACGCAGTGTAACACGGATTATGGTTAAACCGTATAATTGCAGCTGTAACAGGAACATGTATCTTTGGTGATGCAGCAACGTTTATAAAAGATTGCAGAGTTTTATTTGGAGATATTTTTATTGTGCCTTTCTTAGGTTCTGCCTTGGGATTGACAGCAATGTGCAGCCTGGGGTGGAGAAATTTGGTTGCATTTGACTGGAATGATTTGCCCGTGGGCAGGGAATTTGATTGCAAATTTTTGAAAAAAGTCAAATCCCCACCCTATGCCCTGCCTCCGCCCCCGCCGGCATTACATTGACAGGTGCATTACTTATCTTCTGTATCAAGGTGAACGACCAAAAAATTGAAAAACAAACTCTAAGCGATAGATCTTAAGACCTTTTCAAGTTCTCCTCTAGCTTTTGTCCATGATTAAATAGTCAGTGTAGTTACTGATAGTTGCGTTATCCGTTAGCCTCGTTCTCACGGCTTTTCTGTGACACAATTTCGATCTCAGGTTTCGGCGCTTCTCTTACGCTTTCACTATCAAAGGCACTTCCTTGTTTATCGAAGTACGGATTGAGCGATCCGGATCTATTAAGGACACAGTTCAACGCTTTCTAACAGCAGTACGTATACATTTCTTTCCGATGATAGTGTTTGTAGTTGATAATTATTTCTTTCTGCGAATTTAATGGCGCCAGTTGAACGGATTTTCTGCTCGAAATCCAGTGAAGACAGTGGGATATAGTCCACTGGATCTGTATTGAAAATATCCACTAACGAAGACCACCGGCTGAGGTCCTCGCGATTGCAGAAAGTCCGAGTCTCCGAAAAACTTGAAAGAATCCTGAATCCCTGATCTTGTTTTAGCTGGCAGCTCACAATTTTAATACCTGGCAAGAACTGATGAACACAGCTAGCCTTTGGCAGTTTTCGGTTCTTTAGAAACCCATGCTTGGCTCGTAATGTGTATTTCGGGTTCTTCGCGATATTATTTAGCGAATTCCATGATTATCAGGTGTCTCCTCTTTGTCTGTGAGAGGCGGCACTCAGTACCATTCGGCCTTGAATGCAAAGTTTCGTCGTTTGTCTTGGATACCGGACCGCACTATTACTGATGGAGACGGAATGATTACGGGCGTACGTGCCAGTTTATTTACTGTACAGTGCTTCATAGTTATTTCAAGGTCAATCTTTGCTTGTTAGCTAGACTGCCTGCAATCGATTTCTGTCAGTCTGTCAGTCTCTTTTGGGTCTACCTAGGAGAAGAAATTGGTCAACCGAATAACCCTAACCCTTTTTTTTTGAGAATCGGCTCGCGGAAATAAATTACTTGACGGACCCGTTTGCTTTCAAAGACAAAAAGTGAGACCGAAGGGGTGGTGGTGGGTGGTGGTGGGGAAGTGGAGGGTGCGTGGGGGGGGGGGGTAACTCCCATACGAAATAGCTGGATCCACTGTTTGGGAAAAGGGAAGACCAATCTTTATATGACAACAAATATTCCATTTTAAAACTTACGTCCAAATCAGAGCTATTTAATATCTGCTATTAAAATGGCAGTTTAATTCCAATAGAGACGTTGTCCTTGAATGCTTTTTGTTCTGTTCTATCTCCTTTCTTTTTCCACGAACAGCCTAAATAAGCAATACATGTATGGGTCAAAATGTTGGCGTTTTTTCCCGAAAATCCTAAGAGATACCAAAATCTACAATTCACACACCTAAACAAGATGACAAG